TGACATTGTAACCAGGCTGTGCATTGTTTTAAAAATACATAAACTAAGTATATTTATGTAACATAAACAAATAGTCTAAAAGGGTGTGTGTTTGTCCGTGAATGTGTTTATGTTCATTTGTGTTCATTTCTGATTTTCTGTTTATGGTGTCTGTGTAAGTGTGTGTATGAGTTTGTATGCAAGTGTGTGTGTTATGTATTCTAGCAGACATTTCCAACACCCACTGTATGTCTGAGGTAGGTGTGTGTGTGTGTGTGTGTGTGTGTGTGTGTGTGTGTGTGTGTGTGTGTGTGTGTGTGTGTCTCTTGCATGTTTGGGTATATGTCTGTGTATATCATATGGATCAACGTTTGTGAGGCTGTACGTCTATGCATTTGTGTAAGAAGGTATATCTGTGCAAATAGATTTGTGTGGGGGCATATTTTTATGGGTATGTCTGAAAGTTTACTTAAGTGAAATTGTGTGTATAATATATATATATATATATATATATATATATATATATATTTTTTTTTAAATCTATCCATTTCCTGCTACATGTATTAAAAGTATGTTTCACCTTTTTTATCAACTTGCATACGAAAATACAAACAAACTATAAAATGAAAATTAGAATTTATTTGTGTATGTGACCATAGTGCCATTAAAGAGATTTGTGTGTTCCAATGTCTAGTCTAGTTTGTCAGCAAGTTGTGTGTATCCCAATAGTGAGTTTTTCTACTTTCTTGTAACTCAAGTTGTCTGCATATTTTCTATGTTTATTGCCGAGCCTTTTATTTTTGCTATGTGTTGTATGCATGTTTCTTTGTGCATATCTGTTTAGCCATGTATTTTTCTTTATGTACTGTGGGCTACCAGTTGTACACATGTTTAGAAGTTTAATAGTTGTGAGTTTGTTCTGTTATTCTCTGTACCACATGTGCATGACTGTGTATTTGATTTTGCTGTTCATTTGTGTCTTCGAGCACTTATATGTGTGTGTTTCTCTCTGTTAAGAGATGTGTGTATTTTATTTCTCTGTATGTTTACATACTTATGAATTATATATGCATCTGTTTACACATCTGTGTGCACTGTGTATGTTGTGTGTCTTGTATTTGAAAATGATGTAGTCGTGTGATTGACAAGCACAGGCAACGGTGTGTGTCATTGTTGTCAGTATTTCACTGTGACTGGGTTCTATTTATGATGTGTTTGTGTTAAAAACATTTCCTGATGCTGTAACACAGTCATTTTTGACATTTTGTCAAAAAAAACACCAAACATTATTAATAAGCAAAATTATACAGCCCGACACACATACATGTTCAGTGCACCCACACATAGGCTGTGCAGCAATGTATCACATAAATACATATGTGTGTTTAAAGAGCCAATTTAATGAGGGACTTGACGTTGGAAAAATTCCTAAAACGTAATGATCTAATTAATTACTGACATTACCTGCTCATTACTTGTCCAGTAACTCACTGAAACATACTCGGTGCTGGGTAGATGGGTGCTATGGCAGTCTAGATAATCACGTGTCTCAGTCACTGTTTACTCATCAGCTAGCAGCCCACTTTCCAAATCTCATTACTCTGATCCAAAATCTATGGCACCCCAACCTTTGACTTCTCCCATTCTAAGGCACGTAGTTCTGTACCTCAGCTATCAGATTTCCCTATTCCATTTAACTTATTCTGTACCCCAGCTATCAGGTCTCCCTATTCCATTTAACTCATTCTGTACCTCAGCTATCAGATCTCCCTATTCTATATAACTCACTCTGTACCCCAACTATCAGGTCTCCCTATTCCATTTAACTAATTCTGTACCCCAGCTATCAGGTCTCCCTATTCCATTTAACTCATTCTGTACCTCAGCTATCAGATCTCCCTATTCTATATAACTCACTCTGTACCCCAACTATCAGGTCTCCCTATTCCATTTAACTAATTCTGTACCCCAGCTATCAGGTCTCCCTATTCCATTTAACTCATTCTGTACCTCAGCTATCAGATCTCCCTATTCTATATAACTCACTCTGTACCCCAACTATCAGGTCTCCCTATTCCATTTAACTAATTCTGTACCCCAGCTATCAGGTCTCCCTATTCCATTTAACTCATTCTGTACCTCAGCTATCAGATCTCCCTATTCTATATAACTCACTCTGTACCCCAACTATCAGGTCTCCCTATTCCATTTAACTAATTCTGTACCCCAGCTATAATTGTCTCCTTATTCCATTTAACTGATTCTGTTCCCCGGCTATCAAGTCTCCACATTCTATTTAATTCATTCTGCACCCCAGCTATCAGGTCTCCCTATTACATTTAACGCATTCTGTACCCCAGCTATCAGGTCTCCCTATTCTATATAACTCACTCTGTATCCCAACTATCAGGTCTCCCTGTTCCATTTAACTAATTCTGTACCCCAGCTTTCAGGTCTCCCCATTCTATTTAGCCCATTCTTTACCCCAGCTATCAGGTCTCCCTATTACATTTAACGCATTCTGTACCCCAGCTATCAGGTCTCCCTATTCTATATAACTCACTCTGTATCCCAACTATCAGGTCTCCCTGTTCCATTTAACTAATTCTGTACCCCAGCTTTCAGGTCTCCCCATTCTATTTAGCCCATTCTTTACCCCAGCTATCAGGTCTCCCTATTACATTTAACGCATTCTGTACCCCAGCTATCAGGTCTCCCTATTCTATATAACTCACTCTGTATCCCAACTATCAGGTCTCCCTGTTCCATTTAACTCATTCTGTACCCCAGCTTTCAGGTCTCCCCATTCTATTTAGCCCATTCTTTACCCCAGCTATCAGGTCTCCCCATTCTATTCAACTAATTCAGTACCCCAGCTATAAAGTCTTTCTATCCCTTTTATCTGGCTCTAAAGCCCAGCTATCAAGACTCGCCATCACGTTTATATCTCAAAATACATAATTATGAAACCCCCTTTAAATCGTACCGTCTCCTTTACTTCATTCTGCATTCCCTTTAATATATTCCTAACCCGATGTACCTAACTTTTACAAGTCATCCAATAGCCCATCCGATACGGGTGGGATAGAGGAAGGGTTAAAAGCTCAATCTGGCACACTGTAGGTTAATCGATAGATACACTCTGTGAATTAACAGATAGTGTCCGTGTGTTAATGGTGAGACAGGAACCACATGGGTTAATCTATGGTGTGTCTATCTTGTGTAAGGACTTGGCATGAGAAAGGTCGGTAGGCAGTTTAGCTATCTGGAGCGCTTTTTGGTTAACGGATGCTGTAACTATCTGGCTCTCTGTGGGTTAAAATACTGCGGGTTTATTAGATAATATGATTAGGTAGATTTAAGTTAAGTTAATAGGATGTCTAACTAATTGTTTGCCACTGATAATGTACCTATTACTATAGGAATTATTGTGCGCCAAAAAAATGTACCTACATGACAGTTGGCATACTATAGGTTAATAGTGTCTCTCGGGCACACTGTGGGGTAAAAGTGTCTCTTGGGCACATATTGGGTTAATAGAGAGTCTGTGGCACACTATGGGTTAATATTGTCTCTCTGGCACACTATGGGTAATAGTGAGACTTTGACACTCTATGGGTTAATAGTGTCTCAATCATTGGCACACAATGGTTTAATAGTGAGTCTCTGGCACACTATGGGTTAATAGTGTCACTCGATGGCACACGATGGGTTAGTAGAGTCTCTCTTTGGCACACTATGGGTTAATATACTGTGTGACTATCTTGAACACTATGGGATTATAGCATCGCTTTAAGAACGGTCAGGGTAAGGAATAGTGTAAATACTGGCATACTGTAAATTAATCGACAGTCTCATTATTACACACTGTACAGTAAGACTGCTAGTCCTGATACACTATATACATGTTAATAGTGTGATTCTCTGGCATACTCTGGGTTAATACGATGCCTGTCTGGCACAGTGTTACAATGTTACCCTTTTAGAACGTTGTGCCTTTATACTGGAACACTGCCTATTAGCAGTGATTACCTGGCACATCACATGTTACTAAGCATTGTGATACAATGTGAGTTAATAGTGACATCTAGCACAATGTGGGTTATACTGAGGCTGGCACACTATAGTATGACTGGCACAAACTGGGTTAATAGTGTAACTGGCACAAACTGTGTTAATAGGGTGACTGGCACATTCTTTGTTAATAGTGTGGCACACACTGGGTTAACAGGGTGACTGGCACATTCTTTGTTAATAGTGTGACTGGCTCACACTGGGTTAATATGACTGGCACATTATTTGTTAATAGGGTGACTGGCAAACACTGGGTTAATATACAATGACTATCATTACTGGTAGGTATGGAATCTGAGAGCACATTTACAGCACACAATAGTATACCATACATAGCAAATAATACTCCAACACTCCAGCATCTGAAAGTCTGAGGGCAAAAAAAAAGAAGAAAAAAAAAAGAAAATGTCTTGTTTTAACCCATTAGCTTCTTCATTATTGCAGTGCCATTCAGCACACAGTGCCCTGTAGCCTGGCACAGTACAGGAGATTCCAGGGAGCCAAACCGTCTGTGAAGTCCTCATCTCACCCCAATTCCCTCCTGGACCCATTGAAAAATCTCCGCTAGTCTTCTGCCAGCAGTGAATGAATGCAGAGAGAGGGTCCAAGGACCAGCATGGGGGTTAATTCACTTGAACACATTGTATGCATGGTAACCAGGAATTCAGCTAAGACAGGGTTGAAACCTCGAGCTGGAAGAAACTGCATGCAGAAATCAGGGAGAGGAAGAGTTAATCTCACAGAAAGAGAGTGAACTGTTCAGCTTGCGGTAGGGAAGGGGTTAAAGAGCCGCCTGCCTGTCACTCCTAGCTGTGTGGGCGGGGCCTGCGCGGTAGGGGGCGGGGCAGTGAGTGGGAGAGAATGCATTGATCAGTGACAGCATCTCCCAGGGGTGTCAGGCACAGGGGCTGAGATTAGCACAGAGCAGACACATTACAAGGGGAGATTTGCATAGCAGTGCTGCCACTGGCTGGGATTTGGGGTAGGCTGGACCTGGGGGCTGGAGGTCTGAGTGAGGCAGGGACTCAATCTGTGCTGCAATCACTGGCAGCCAGGCACACATTAGGGACACACACCGGCTGCTCAACCTGACTGGGAGCCTTGACTTGAGGGGACATACCCTGGGCAGAGCTCAGGCATTAAACTGGAAATAGGGATTGCATAAATTCTTCTGCTGGAGACAGGGGTCCAGAGATCTGCAGCTGGAAAGTGGGGTTCAGAGATCTTCACTGTTGTTGAGAGGTGTCCACAGATCTTCACTGCTAGAGAAAAGGGTCTAGAGATCTTCACTGCTGGAAAGAGGGGTCCACAGATCACTGGTGGAAAGAGGAGCACAGAACACTGCTGGAAAAAGGGGTCCACACATCACTGCTGGAAGAGGGGTCCACAGATATCCATTGCTGGAAAGAGGGGTCCCACATCTCCTGTTCTGGGAAGAGGGATCAAGCTCTCACTTCTGGAAGCAGGGTTCCCCCAGACCCTCAGTACCCCCGCTGTGCAGTTTTTGGGGTGCCTTTGGATTATATTGAGTCTCCCTGCTCTCAGTGGGATGTCCCACGCGTGTCCAGGGAGCTGCAGGATTCGCAGTTGGGAAGATGCTTGTCTACCTTAGTGGATCTCGCACCGCTCTGGGGACCCCCCGGGAGCAGTCACTGGAGCCTGCGGGGGACAAGGCTCTGACTCCCGGCCGCGGGGGATCGGGACAACCCGGCTCTGACCCCCATATTTTGGGATTGTGTCTATGAGAAGCAGGACCCCCTAGAAAGTTGATTTGGATTTTCTGCTGGTGCTGGGTATAATTGGAAGTGTTTGGAGATTGGAGCCTTTAACTGGGATTATGGTCAAAGGTGGAAGAGGACAGCGAGCCTTAGCCAGGTAATGCATGGGGCTGGGGGGGCAAAAAAACAAAACAAAAACTATCTATACATTTATTACTGGGGGGCAATCAGGGCAACGTAGGGGTCTGCTCAGTGTACACATCAATACTGCCATCTGATTACAAGCAGAATTCTTAAAAATCCGATTCTAGAACGGGGGAGTGTGTCAGAAAGGATGTCAGAAAGAGAGAGAGGAGACTGTCAAAGAGACTGCCAGTGATGGACAAGCTGGATCTCAGAGAAACAGGGGTATACACACAGACACAGGATGGGTTCCAGAAAGAGGGATAGAAATAGAGAGACTGGCAATGACAGTCTGGATGTAAGAAAGAGAGAGGAGAGAATGTCAAAGAGGAGAGACTGTCAGTGACAGACTGTAGGTCAGGTAGAGAAAGAGATGGTTAGGGGCATTGGGAGAGAGAGAGAGGGATTCAGTGACAGCTTGTATATCATTGAATGAGGGACTGTCAGAATGATAGGTACTGACAGGCAGGATGCCAGTGAAAGAGACTGTCCAGGAGAGTGAGATTATCAGGCAGGATGACAGGGAGAAGGAACAGACTAAGAAGCTGGATGCAAGAGACAGTTGATGAGGTTGAGACAGGCAATGACAAGTTATATGTCAGGGAAGAAGAGACAGTAAAGGAAGGATAGTCATGGAGGGAGACTGCCACTGATAGGTTGTATTGCAGGGAGAGAGACAGGAGATACTGCCATTGACAAGTTGGATGTCAGGGGGAGAGAGCGCTTAAGAGAGAGATACTGTCAGTAGTAGAGAGAGTAAGAAATGCTGCAAATGACAGTTTGGTTGTCAGAAAGAATGACTATCTGGGAGATAAAGATTGTCAGTGATAGGGCAAGTAAGGGTTAATGTAAAACGAGAACTTAATGCAGCCCCAATGGAGAGCTAGCAAAATATTTTTAATTTTTTTTTTTCTGTTTATCAAGCACAATACTCAGGAACGTTTAGTTAAATGGAATGTTGGAAAATTGCACCAAGACCTCAGTAAATAGTGGCCCCACAGGTCTCTGCAACATACAAACTGCTTTAACTCTCTCTGAGCCATGCTTCTAAAATGGGTGACTCCACTGCTGTGAGCAGAGGATTTACCTGTCCTGATTAATTAGATCTCTGCAGATATGTGTCACACATTCTTGTTAAATGTGACAGACAATCCAAGTCTGAACAGATATAATTATCACTTACACTCCTAGTTCATATTGTATGCTGTACACTCATTTCTACTGCACACCTACTGTGGTCACTTAATTCTACTGTATGCCAATTGCTTACTCATACTGTACACAATCTAAACCATAGATACTGTATATTTATCCTTAACCATCATTATCATATTTGTATCTGGGTGATAGACAGCAGTAGAGCGTGATATAGCATGGATTCCTTCTGGGTTCATAGATGGTCCAAGATAATTCTTCATATTTGGACCATTTGCCTCTATCTGCAAAAAAAAATGAAGAAGTGACTGTAGGACAAAGTGTTAAATCCTGTCCCCCCAAATCACCTTGTCCATTTCTAGAGTACTGCTTTGGGGTGGGTCGAGTTGCAGATTTTTAGCTTGGACATCATATGATTGGTTTGCCCAGTGAGAATCAAGAATCCTCTTCTTGATTGTTTCCATTGGAATAAAGATGTGGCTGTGCTGGGTTTAATGTGCGTATCACCTATGTGTTTAAGACAAATTCATATTTTTTTTTTAAATAACAAAAATTATAATATAATGGCTTGAGAACCATAAGGAAGCTTTATCCATCATGTTGTGAAATGTTTTATCCCTGACGTGGTCTTTCTTTTCACTAAACTTGACCAGGCTTTTAGACACAGGGCATCTGTTTAAATCCTGGCAGGAATACAACATGGAAATAAACTTGGGGGACATACTGTATTGCTTGTCATAGCTCTCTGACCATGTAGCTGGATTAAAATTACTGGAGGCAAAGCTTTATCCAGCAACAAAATTACCAGATCAGCTTAAAAACTCAGCGTCAGATCAATTATATTTCTAAGCTTTTCTAAGCTATCTAACCTATAAAAATAAAATAATAAAAAAAAAAAACCCTAAAAGATCCACAATTGAAATGCTGCCATTTAGATTCCATTAACACCTGAGAGTTTCTCCTTTCTAGTCAGTATCTGAAGAGGACCTACCTCTTAACCCAGCATAGATACCTCTTAACTCAGCACTAATCACAAAACCGTAATAATCTTGCATCGGAACACTTTAAATCGTGTTGAAATATAATGGCCCAATACTCTTTTTTAGTAGGTTCATTTGACTATGATAGGGTACCTACTACCTGTGAGATATACATGAATGTGTTTTCTTTTTTTTTTTTTTTATTGACCACATCTTCACCTAAAACCATATAGTCTAATTTCTTAAGATTGAGATCCATATTGACCAGTTTTAGCAAATTAGAGCACAAATTCCTTTTTCATGGATAATGTGTTGTCCTAGAAGGAATGTAATATTGTCTGTCTATTCATCAAATGAGAGTGTTTAGGGTAGAGGTATAGCCACTGAAGATATAAGTTAAGTGAAGGTAGAGCTGTTGGGTCTGTGGATGAGTGGTGGCTACTGTCAAGGGAGGATAAGTGGAGGTGAAGCTGTTGGTCTGTGGAAGAGTGGTTGCTACTGTTGAGGGAGGTTAAGTGGAGGTAGAGCTGTTGAGTCGGTGGAAGAGCTGTAGCTTCTGTTGAGGGAGGATACGTGGAGGTTGAGTTTTTGGGTCTCTAGCTGAGTGGTGGCCGTGGCCCATCAAAAATCTATATTCTTGGACCCACTATGGTTGGGTGAGTTAGAGAGCAGGCCTAGAGACTAGTGGTGGGTGCTGTGTGGTGGGGATAGAGTGGTTGTTCTGTGATAGTGAGGTGGCTGCTGAGATGAGTTGAGTTAGTGTGTACAGGCTTGGGCAGAGTGAAGACTGTACATATGGTTAAAATAGGGTTTGGTCTGGGGCAGTGATTTGCCTGCTGAAGGGCAGCATTAGAGTTTGTTGGTCTGTAATGGGTGAGTTATGGGGGGGCGGGCCTGGAGAATAGTGGTGGCTGCTGGGTGGTACTAAAGTATACCCTAAGAAATTATGTATTTGTGGCAATGATGTTGAAGGAGATGGTGGACCTATGGCACAGTGGTACATACACACAATGGAAATAATGTTTCAGGTAGGTTATTTCTCTCATCACTGAGAGAGAATTTGTACTGGAATTATATGAAATGAGATTTAAATGACATTAGTTTGGGGTTGCAGATTGGGGTTTTAATGTGGTCCAAAGTGTCTAACTTCAATAAAGTAGAGCCAGGATCCTAAAAATGAGTGAAAATAGCTTTTGGGTCACTTGTCTTCAGATGGCTATATTTAGTTTTGTCTAAAAAGATATAATCAGCCATTTAGAAGGTTCAGCTACTTAGAAATAGAGTAAACACATCTTTGAAAATATCTTATTTAACTACAGAAATCTGAAAACAAATATTTTTTAGGACCATTTATATGTACGCCTTTAATATTATTTTGCAGTAAAATTGCCTTGTAAAACACCCCACCTTAATAATCTGTAGTACACATTTCTTGTAAAAGAAAAAAAAAAAACTCAAAAACCCTTCTCTTGGTAAGGATTTGATTCAAATTCAGTACATTGCTGACCTCTATCTGCAAAGAACTGCAAGCCATTGTACTGCAGTGAAACAAGCATCTTTCAGACTCACGGTTCTCCTCTTAGTAAAAAGGAAATAAATAAATAAAAAGATTTATCTGTCCTTAAATCCCGTACAAATTGCACATTCAGTATCAAGCACTGAGCTGAGCAAACACTGACTGCAAGAGCCAAACTGAATGTTACATTTCTAAACCACACAAGGCAGGCCGATTTACCACCACCATCTTAAGGACACAATGTTTAAGATTTAAATGCACCTACCACCAACTTGGATCTTTGCACAGATCACACAGTTGCTAATTTTGAGCAAAACTTTCCTTCTTAATCCAGAACATTTTTCCTCGTTATCTCTTAAATCTTCCAGCATTTTTATCTACCCATCGAAATAAAAATTGTTACGAATGTTATTTCACGTTCGGTTACTGGAGGAAAAGTGGATTTAATAGATAAATATGCTGAACACAGCTATTGCAAATGCAGATCAGGGAAGAAACAGCGAACTTGTTATTTTTATGCTGTACTGAACATGGTACAATATTCCAAGTTTGACATCTCGAATTGTTTGCTGCCAATCAAGCAGTAAGTTGTCTATACAGATGTCTCCTTGCTTGTGACATGGACATACTTCTGCTTTAAATTTCCATTAAGTAAGACTCTATTATAAATGTATATTTTTTTCTAACGTGCAAATCTGAATCAATCCTTAATTTCTCCCTATCCCCTTCCCATATATTGTTCATCATCAGCGGTATACTATGCTCATTTGAAAGCACCAGAAAAGGTCTATTACCAAAGTAATGTGGTTATATAACAACAGAATTGCAATTTTAGGCCAGAGCTTTTAAAAAGAAATGTAGGAGAATTTTTCAGTCCTGGCTATTTTAGCCCAAGTTTTGCAGTTACTTTGTTAATACAAGACTATTCTTCAATAATGGATTTATGTCTCATACGATTTGTGCCCTGTTTTGCCGTCAAGTAAGGGACGCATACATTTTGAAAAATTACAAACTGGACATTCAAGGAAACTGTGTAAAAGCAATAATTACAGCACTCAGAATGGAAAATGTACCCTTATTTACACGGAAATGGTATTTTCGACCCATTTAATATAAGTGCATGTTGTTTTTAAATGTAAGTGTTTATGGAGTGAAAGGTCGAGTCAGATGCATAAAGTGTTGCTTTTGTTGGAGACGCACAATTTTATTAATTGTATTTCAAGCGTCTCATGCAAATTACAGAAACACACAACGCTAATGCAAATACTAGGCTTTTCTAACAGCAGGAGAACCTGGTGTCTATGTTGACTGACATTGCTATTTGGAGATTTTAATATGAGCAATTCATGTAGCTCACGTTTTGCTCACTCAGACCTATTTATCATGCTGTGCATTAAATTCTTCTCAGTCATATAACTGTCTTTTCCAAGGATGGAGTAAATACATTTTTCGGTCTGTTCCTCCGGATTGTAAGTTGATTTAGGTTGCACAAAGAAAAAAAAATATATAAAAATAAATTTAAAAAAATAAAAAATAATTTCTTTACAAAACTAAGCCTAATATTAAAATAATGACCATTATTTTGTGAACTTCTATAACATAAATATTTCATGATCTGATACACTCCCAGCTTGTCCTATGGTGGACAGTGAGAAAATTAAATTGTTTAAACAGACTATCCTTTTGGAAAACATTTTGCTAAATATTGTTACATGGAAAAGTAAAATATTCAATTGTTACTTTTAGTTTAAAGATACAGAATAAGCAATATTTTTGCTGGAAAAAGTTATTGAGAAGCTGAGAGGACCTATTCTACTAACTAGACAATATTTTTGCTCATCACTGCTCAAAATAAAGGCTCTCTCAATTAATAATAATTAATAATCGTACTGCCTGGGAAAAAAAATAAAATAAAAATCAAATGTGGGACTTTTTTTTTTTTTTTATAATTTTTTTTTTTTACATTGACTTCTAGAAATGTAACTTTAGCCACTGTGCAGCAATTTGCTACAATATATAGCTTGAGTTGTCTGAATTTCATTGCAGTTATAAACCTTGTATGCTGAAAACGAGCTATGTATACTGCGTTATGTTGTAGGAGACATTTTCTTATTGCAAACAAATGACGAAGGTATATAAAGCATGCAGTTATGCAAATTATTTGATCATAAAAAGCGCGTAAGAGGCTGTAGAAAAGATTATTTGTTTAATCTTCCATCATATGTATTCTTTGAATAAAGACTGACAATTCAGTCTATTTTACTTAACTTTTAATTCTTCTGTTATTCTGACTGGAGGCGGGGTGGAATAAAGGTTTATAGTCTGTGGCTTGGCTTAATGAGAGTTGCAGTCTCTTGAATATTGTAACTTGAATATTGCTCGCCTTAGCACAGATTTTAGATGTCAACAGCTCAGTACAACAATCGAATAGGGAATATCCAGAAATAGGCCTTAAAGCTGCAACATTAGTTCTGATTGGTTGCTCTATAAACGTGAATATTATACAGATTTAACCCTATAACTACCAGTGAAAAAAAACATGCTAAAAGGATTTTATTCCAAACTTACATCCACCCTTGTTTAACTACAGAAAGGCTCTATAGATACACCAATGATAATTTTGTAGGACTATCCAGACTTTTTGGGGAATATTTCTGAAATTTCCATCAATCTTTGCCAGCATCTTAAATGCAGCCTAGATACATTGAATTGAATGCTAGTTTCCCCCATAAAGGTCGCAAAATGCAGCGGACACTACTCTTTGCACAGTACTAAAAATGCAGGAAGCAGGTTGAAGGTACAAGTTAACTCAAGGGGTTTAAACTCCCAGAGCTGACAATCTAAATACCATCTTAAGTCATTTTATTTAACAAATGAGAAATTGGACCCAAACTCCTGTTAAAGTCCTACAGAAATGTAGCTTAATTAATTCACACTTTCCATTCCCCACACCCATTTTACATAAATCTACACACGCTGTTAGATTTAAGAAATAATATAGAATGTTTATAAAACTATTTTTGGCCTTTGTATTCTTTAAATCTAGTTTTGATTCTTCTTGTTTTGAATGGTTTTAAATATAATATTCCCCAACAAGCCCATGGCCCACATTATCTCACTAATGGCCAATTCACAAGTCTAAGACTGTTAAGGGAGTCACACTCTGATTTGGGCCATCCAGTGAATCCTGAATTTGACTCAGACTCTTTTGCCACCAAAATACACATACCCGTTATCTAACTATCTTCCAGGTCAAAATTAGTCATATTTATCTAGAAAAGTCGGCCATTTCAATACTCTTAACTATAGCACATTATACTGAAAGGGTTATTCAATAAAGTGAAATTTAAATGTAAAGTCAAAATAGTCGACCTGGAATAATTCTCTAAGCCAGTTCTGCTACTTTGGCCTTAAATTTAAAATCCACTTTGAATTCTCAATTTAGCAAATAACCCTGATAATCAGCTACAATGTCTGGTACCCTATACTACTTAATAACTTGGAGGTGTAGTACATTTATAAGTTACTTTAATATTTATTTAAAATGGCTTGATTTTTTTTTTTTTAACCTAGCATATTGTCACTTTAGTTTGAGAATAAAATCGAGCATACTGCTCAGAACTATTATTTATCATTGTTCTAGTGTTCTGCATACACTGTCGAAATTGCATTCTTGTGCCAATAGAGAATATCTCCTCTCTCTACATAAGGTGTTATTCTTTTATTCCCTAGATCACTTGAAATCTTTGCGTTCCAGCTGAAAATCAGCTAAAGATGACAATTTATTCTGTATAAACCATTATTGTACCCTGGCATCGGATGTAATTACTGAGCAGTCTAATGGAGTGAAATTATTCCTGCATACTGAGAGAGATCTGGCCTTTTAATGAAAAGTGTTTCCTACACATTTTTCTTTTTCACAAACAGAAGAAAGGGAAAGTTTTTTTTTTTTGTTTTTTTTTTTAAAAAGAGAGAGAAAAAAAATCCCTACTATTTGTAAATTATAGACATTTAAATAGATCCTTTTGTTTAAACATATGTCTGTGGGTTGGGTTGCTTAGGATATGTATCTGATTAGCTTTTGAGCAATAAATGGAAAGTAATTCTACGATTTATTTGGAACTGTTGGAGAAAATACTCTGCTTGTCGGTGCTGCAGAGGAGTTTGATGTAGCAGAGGTGCGCGCGAAGTAGCGTATTGTGCCGCAGGGCCTGGCAAACGCAAGAGGCATATCTAGTTTAAATTATCTTCAGTCCTGAGCATCATTAATGGAAAATAAAGCTGCACTGTACTGCATTACTAAAACAAATAAACCATGAGTGTGCTGGTAATTTAAAGCTGGCAGTCTGTAGATTGTGTTGACGCTTAGAACGTTTTATAAGATCTATGATTTTTTTTCTTCTAAGTAACGTCCCCAGAGACGTACATAGGGCAAGGTGGGACTGAGCGAAGATTGCAGGGATTACAAAAGTCAAAGCACAGTTGCTTGGGAGAACAGCCAAAAACATTGTACACTCTGGCTTCTATTTTTAGACTTCATACACCAAAATTAGACTGTAAGCCTCTGAGGTCAAAGTCTTGAAATGTCTGCATTACCTTAGCATAGGGAGTACGGATTCCTAAACTGCTTATTAACTCATTCAGTAGCATGTGAGATTAATAACGGTGTGGTCCTGGTGGGATGATAAAACTTTGCAAACCTCAAACAGTTAAACAACCAAAGACCCCTTTGTGTCTACAAAACTATTGCATGGCTCACTATCCCCCCCTGCGGGTGAAATCTTTGTTTCTCATATATTTTTAATTATTTTCATTCCTCTTGGAATATTAATGTGCAAGTGTTTCACACTTAAATCTTTTTTCATGTGCATGAATGTGATGGCGAATTTTATATTCTAGACAGTAAAATAATTTCCTATGGAAACACACATTAATTGACTGAATCAAATTAACCTGATCACCATAACACAATTGAAAAATTGGATGTACACGTTCTTAAATGCTTTTGTATATTAAAATACTTTTGAAATTATTTTAATACATTTCAGAATAAACATAAATAAATTGAAATGTATTGCTTACTTATCAAGTGATTGTGTTTCAGAATTTAAGCTACAGTAAAGTTCAATGTTGTGCAAAAAAAATTCTTAAAAAAGAAAACAAAACTTGAAATCTTTAAAGGTCTTGCTCTATATTTAATGCCAGCAACATATCAGTGAATTGGGGCATTAAACACTGAGCTAATTAAATAAACAGTTATTTCATTAACAAATGGCACATTGCATAATATAGGAAGCAGATAAAGGTTTAGCCTGAGGGACAGAGAGAATCAAGTAGTTAGTGAACTTGCAATCGAACACGATGATTGCTTACCTCGCTAGCTGAGCATCATGGGAAATGTAGTTCTTGAAGACCTGCAATGTAAAAGTTAGCTGTCTCTTCTTTAGCTTGAATTATAGCTAAAGACGTGGGCCCAAAAATGGAAAGAATTTAGAACAATGCACAACGAAAAGCATTAGTAGTTGATATATGGAGTAGTGTTTCAGTAGACATAAAAATACAGAAAATCAGTTTTTTTTGTTTTGTGTTTTTTTTTTTTTTTTTTAAAGATAGTTACATGATTAAAGCATCATTGTAATATCACTTCTAACAGAATAAAAAAATTTAAAGCCACCATAAAAATAATGCATTTGATATATCAGACTTACCTCCCTTGCAATGAAGGTTTTTGCTGATTTCACACCTATGGAAACAGAGAAGAAATGTTGTATATTTTGCAAGTTGTAGATGGCTTTTGAATTATTTACCAATATTTTATGTTTTACTGCTGCAAGCGAAGCTTGCATCTAATTCTGAATAAACACACGTACCCAGCGGCTATGCTACAGGGAAAAAACTTAGAATGGAATGTCGAACAGTTCTGATGCTTGCAGCCACAGAGTATTTCAAAATATTATCTTCTAATTTCTCTTAAATGTTCTCTTTTAAGTTCCTATAGACCCCAAAAGGTCCATTTAGTAGCTAAACTTGGTTTGCTTTATATTGTCTTTCATGGCTGTTTGTATTATTTACAGCTAAATAAAGTTGTACTAAATAATTTGTAGATGCCTGAGAGCAGCTAGTGGGAGACATTTTCCTGTGCATCCTTCACTTCCTGTTGCTGTGCTTTACGGGGTGTTCTGCACAGGAAGTGCTCTTACGCTTTCCGCAGAGGAAGTGCTCTTAAGAGAATGTGTAAAACAAGCATGGCTCCTCCCCAGTCAGACAAAAAAACCTGCCACTTTCAAAACGAGATTCTATCAGGTGATGTTAATATTTGCACATCTCCCAGGGATATTTACTAAACTGAAATATATCGGCGGAATTAGAAATTTTAGGCAGAATAACAAAACTGGAAAATTTCTCCTACTTGCCAATTGTGATTTAAACACTGCAATACCCTAGTCAATTCTTGACAATTTCATGGTTAAAAGTTTAACAGGTATTTGCAGCCACGATTTTGGGGTCCTATCCCACTGTGTTCGTTATATTCTGCAGTGTCACCAGTGACGTGAGAAGCACCAATGGCATTGCCCCCCCTCTCAGGCTCGCCTACCCATCCACCAATGTTAGGAGGTATGTAGTTAGTACCGACAATCTAACTTACACAGTAATCAATTGTGGGGAATTCATAGAAAATTGTACATTTTAAGCAAAATAGCTAAACTGAAATTATAGCTGGGCTTGGAGATATTTTTTGGGGCTATTTTGGCCCAAAATATGAAATTCACCTTGAGTTGCGGACAATATCATAAAATAAACCTAAGAGTTACGAACAGATTCACAGTCCTTCATTTCATTACAAATGATTGGTCAAAACGATGGTACTTCAATGCTCTAATGGTTTGTAGATCATCTGATAACGTTTGATACTATATGGTAAGAGTAGTGTACCGACTTGCAGTGTGGTATTGCCCTGACTCTGGGCTTGAACAGGATTTGTAGAATTCTGAAACCAATATTTCTATATAAAATACTCAATTATTTAAACAAGTCGTTAAAATAATCCTATTCATCTTGTTTTCTTTCTCAACACACACACACAGTTAACCTTGAACTATTATTTTTTATTAGTGTGTTTTGCTTCGAGTGTCACATAATGCATTTACAAGATGGCTAATTAGGGGCCACAGTGATGTTTTGTAGAAACGCGTACGTACGTATGTATTTAGGTGTGTGTGTTTTTGTGTTTTGCTAAAGAGGCATGATATTTTACGCCGTGCGTAGCAACTCTATTGACTCGTGCTGTGTGCAATAAACATTCCTTCGTGTTTCCTATGTTTGGGTAGAAGCAGGGAATGCCTCTGTGTTGATCCCCCCTGTTGTGATGGCAGCAACTCTTATTGGGGATATTCATGCAAATTTGTATTGTGGCTACAATAAAATAATTTAATTTGACGTTGTAGGGGGAAGACAGAGGGCAACAAGTGAGTGAGCAAATACGTTGCAGAAGGGGTTTAAATACTTTGCAGAAATCTCTGTGTATGCCTAGGATAGCATTCTAGTGCAAACAGTAGATGCCAACACAGTAAAGGAAGGGGAAAATGCTTAGGATGTTTATAACATGAACAGAAAAGCCAAATCAGAGTGTTCATAGTGGGCAAACTAAGTTGGCCAAATGGCTCTTTAAAGGGACACTCCAGACCCCTAAAGCACTTTAGCTTGCTAAAAAGCTTAATGTGTGAAGAGTGTGTCTTTTTTTCATTTTGGAAAAAGTGCAGGTTTCTATAGAAATTGACACTTTTATAAATCATACTGGTTACCTCCCCTTGGCTTTTCAAGCAGACACGTGTCCTGTTACTTCCTGGTTTGGTTAGCTTATTTGCATTGAACTCAAGAGGCAGCAATTGCCCAGAGCACCTGCCTTGCAAAGACTTCTCATTGAGAAGTATTGGGAAGTCTGTGATTGGACAGCTATAGAAAGCCTGGGCGGGGTTAGAAGAGGAGGGCTTGCCAAGGCGGCAGACAAGAGATCTGCTGTTTTTGCAAGTTGCTTTTAGATATATCTCCAATGATAAAACACATAATTAAATGCATTAACATTTTTATTGGGTGTATGTCTACTAACCAGTGATTTTTATATATTTTGGATTTGGGCAGTGGAATGTCCTTTTCAGGCCTTGTTTCCCATTTTACGAAAGTAGTGCTTTTTGTGTCGTGAGATAACCTCCCAAATGATTGTCAATCTGCATTCTAAAGCAATTCCGCAAATCCAGTAATCTCAAACTATAGAAAAGCAAAATCCTCAAGTCCTTCAAACTCCAGAGAGACGGACGATTCCTAAGCTGCTGTGTGTCTACAGATGAAGGAAACAGATGTGTTGGGAATTTTATGCTTCTGGTTTTCAGAAGTTGTAAAATGCTGTCTGTTTGGTGGATTCTCTGAGACATAAACGCAGACAGAGTAACACAAAGTCTGTTATCAGTTTGTATAATAAAATTCGCAGGCATCGTTTAACTTTAAATGAGGCACTGTAGTTACTGATCATACTCTGGACTATTATTACTAGAAATCCCGGGGCAGGCTCTCCAGGCCCAGCAGTAGAACAATCAAGTGAATGAGATTGTTTTAGCTTAATAGTACAATTACCGTTATTTTCATGAGTTTTAAGGAGTCTATTCACTAAACAGCAAGTTGTAACGAATAAATAATATAAAAATAAGTGGCTCCACTCTTCCAAACAGAACTTTAGAATAAACACTTTTTTTCCATCTTATTTTGTAACCCTTTCCATTCCAGTAGTGATTTATATATACATTTTATTATTATTATTGTTATTATTATTATTCCTAATGCATTAATTTTACCATTCCCATTTACTGCCTGACAGTTGTTCGTTGCCAGTAAATGAGATGATCTCTCTCCCTTCCCACAAAACAACTTTTTTTTAAGTGAGTTATAAAGTTTGAAAATAATTTCTGAGAAATAAATGTGTTAAATTGCAATATAACGTGACTACATATGTAACAAAATAGTACTGCGAGAAAAACAACAGTATGACGGCATAACTGCAAAATACAAGAGTTTTATAACAATGTTAACGCAAAGATACATTTAAAAATAGCTGTAAAAACACATATTTTAAAATCATTTATTGCATTACCTTTCATCAACAAACTCATGTTCTCTGTAGTGGTTGAAAACTCACAAATAGGCATAGGACTTACTAAAAAAAAAAAAATGGAGAATTCTCTCAACTTTTTTTAAAATAAATAGAAACCAAAAAATGTCATCATTATGCCCGATTTTGTTATCATCAAAAAGTACAAAGGGTAAAATATGACGAAATGCTCCATGTTACAAATAGCGCCAAAATGTTACATCTCCCATAATATCTAAAAAAAAATATATATATATATAACATTACAAAAACTAATAATTATTTTATTTTGCTTTCTTTTGAGGTGTTTTTTTTATTTTTTTAAATTTAACTTTATGTCACATGGGTGACCTTCTTGGTGTAGAACTAAAATGGGGGCCGGATTCATTGATTTACTGGTCATTATGCCTGCAATTATTATACAATCCAATATTTTCTGAAACAGGGGGAGATCCAGATTTGTGTATAGTACTCGGTTCCAACGGACAATGATCTACTGACCTACTGCTGTGTGTGACACGTGGCCTTCCATATTTTAATTAAAATAAGGATTTTTGCAAATTCAAAGTGAATTCTAAATGCAAGGCCCAAAAAGTCAATCTGGAAAAATTTCCGAATCAGCTATGCTTTCAGCTCAGCTATTTTGGCCTTAAACCTAAATTGCGCTTTGAATTCCTTACTCACTTTCTCACCTTCGTTTATAAATCTGTTTATGTAGTTGCAGCATTTTTTTCCACTTGACGTTGTAACTGGCGTAGAAATAACACAATTACATTGTATACATATCTTAGACGTCTGTTTAAGCTATGTATACAATACATACCATAGCAGATCTTAGAAAGATGTTGCATTAACCTCTTTAAACTTGCCCTTCACAAGAGCATATGTAGTGCCACACAAGTGATAAGGGTGTTGCATGCATGGGATATTTTAGGGTTTCGCTAGAGCAAGGTTACAAGAAAAATGAACGCAAGGCAAATAATGGTTCCATTGTTTAATTTTTCTTTCTGAAAAGTGGCAGTATAAGATTAGTTAAAACTGACAATTAGGAGATCAGAATCTGTAAGCTGAAAAGGTGTTAGTATTTCTTGATGCAGTAATTAACTCATTTAGATCGTATCCCTTGTGTTACATTCATTACACGACTGTGTAAACAAACAGTAGCTCGAAGATGGCTTGATAAACATTCAAGCAATTTATTACATTTTCTACCGAATACTTTTACTTCTGGCCCCCTTTCTAGCATTTATATTTACACATCTATATAATTTAACATTATGTACAATATGCATTATGTAATGTTGTAATATTTGTAAACGCTTAGCTACATTCCGCAGCTCTGTACAATTTCTGGAACACACAAGTAAATTCAACCAGATAAGTATTACTTACCGGAACAAGTAGTGGTGAGGACCATGTGTGTGGAGTTTATCAAATCTAAAAAAAAAAAAAAATAGGTAAAATTATAGTCGGTAGTGTAGTACATGCCATTAAAAGATCAGATCAATATAAAGGTAGATTGACTTTTAGGCCTTGATTTCACCTTATGTTAATTAACAATTTAATATTAACAATTTAATATATTAAAACATAAATAAAATACTGTAATATTTTGAAAAAATAATTTTAAATGTTTATCCAAAAAATTAAATTAAATTAAAGGAACATGTATTCCTGACCTTAGAGTGTTAAAAGCATCATTTAGGTGGTTTTTCTCCCTTAAAAAGGAAATTTATTATCTCAGCCAATTCAATGCCTTCCTGTAGGAAAAGCATTGGATTGGCTGGGATTGTCAAGAGAGTGGGGAGAAGGGGGTGCTAAACACTGGTTTGCCCTATCAGCATCTCTTCATAGAGATGGTATGAATCAATGCATCTCTATGGGGAAAGTTCAGTGTCTCTATTCAGTATCTCTGTGCAGCACTGCCCCAGGAAGCACCTCCATCTGAGGAGTGGCCACTGGACGTGTCCCTAGGGAGCAATGTAAAGACAGATAAAAGGCAGTATTTACAGCAAAAAGGCTGCAGGGGCAGGTAATACTCACCAGAACAACTACATTAAGTTGTAGTTGTTTCGGAGGCTATTGTGTCCCTTTAGTTTCACAAGGGTTCCAAGTGGTTTGTCAAAAACAATGCAATGCTGAGTTATAGAGGGATAAATGGGTTAAAAATCCAAAAGACTTTGCCCTTACTACTCACCATTAATATCACAATAAAACCAAACAACTTACAAATGAATGTAAATTCCTTCATCTTTAATATCTCAAGTACAACTTGATTTTGTGCAGTACTGCCTATTACCAAGTAGGGGCGTTGCCCTATTGAGCTCTACAGTCACAGAAACTGCTTGTGTATGTAAGAGAGCAGTAAGAGAAGGTGCCCTCCATCATGCAGACACTGTGAGCAGTAATGGGTTTACACGAACACTGTACGGTGACATTTGAAGTTTGCTTCTGGTTAAACAATGCATCTCGAAAGAAATTCCTTTTGTTGTCTGTGTTTGATGGTGACGGGTTTAGCCCTTTGGATGCCAGTCGGGCAAGCAACACAATGTAGTGGCATGGAAGCATGTGGCACAGCTTCAGGCATTTGGTGGGTTAATAGCACAGTTAATAGCAGTCCAAGATCTTCTCGGTAGTCAATGGAGAAAAAATATTTTTTTTTTTGTTAACATGTGACCCTGTGATTTAATCCCTTAAATATGCAGGTTTATGTATAAGCCATCAATGGGGTGTTGAAGAATCAAGAGTTGTCCCTCCTAATATCCCGCAGTAGGATTGCAGTGTTAGCTGCCAAGATCACTCATTCCCAGGAGTCTCTGGGAGAGCAAGAGAAGTACAAATTAGCTGCTGCGCCTGTTGTATGCCCAGAAAGGGTCATCACGACCATCAGAAATAATTTTCAGAAAGCTTCACTCTTGGCAGAGTTACAGTGACAATGTAAACTGTGTGGGCTGCAATGTGGGAAGGCCAAGTTCTCTTCCTTGTGAAAGGCCAATACTGGAGGCTGTCTGTACTCGTTGACTTGAGAGGGTCGCACAGACAGATGTTTTTCTTTAAAGGGAAAATTTCCAAGGAAATCAAAAAAAAAAAAAAGTAAACTAAATACAATTTTTTTTTTTAAATGTTTTTTTAAACGCTAGACAAAAATATTTTGATTGTGAATGATAGATGTTGCTTTCATTTGATGCCAGAATTGGCTCTTATGAAATATTCTTGCAGTTAAAAGCATTTTTTTTTTTAAACCTCAGTAATGCCAAGCATCAACGTGTGGTTGAAGCGTTACTACTGTGGGACTTGTTGTAAAACATTGGCAGATAGGACGGGGATAATTTTCCAAGGATGAAGCGAATCACAATATGCTATGATGCTATAATGCATAATACTAACCTAGGCTTAACTAAGCAGAAAGCAACAGAACTGGGGGAATTAAAGGTTTGCCAGCCGCTTGTAACTTGCCGGAGGATAAATTGCAGATTTAGGGACATTGTCTAATTTATCATCAGTGACAAGCTTGTTTCTGAATTATTTTTTTATTTTAACATATATCTGGAGTGGTTTGGTAGACGTATCCTGCAATTATCTCATTTATATTTTAATTTGTTAACATTCTGGGGTACAAACTATATTTTTGATATAAGAAATATATTATCTTAAAAATTAATGCATAATACATATGGTGGATTTATCAATGCCAATTAAGTGTTATTTTAGGTGAAAATTGCTAAATGTCGAGAGACATTCTCATGGTTGCCATGGTGATTGCTACTACATTTGCCCCAGAATAGCACCTGTTTTTACCTTAATTATTCTCCAAATTACATTTTAGTTTTTTGTCCTATGCTTCCCAAAACTGTATTTCAACTGTACACAGAGTATTAAACCCAGCACAAAGACTTTTTATTATATGTATATGATTATATATTCTAGTTGATTCAGCATTTAGTTGTTTTATTAGCATTTGTTCTAACCCCTTGACTTGTCTGACCTCAGATTATGAGTTGTCCTAATTTATTTTTATTTTTTTTAGCATGGGGAAATTCTTGTTCTGCTTTTTATCATGATGTTATGACTCAGGCTTAGAAGGAACTTATTAACCTATTCTGGGAAACTAGAATGTTTCTACTCAGAATGAAAACCCAGCCCAACATTTAAAGAATTAGTGGGACCACAATCTAACATTTAATATTCGGCAGTCAAAGGTATACTAGTTTGGGGAAAAAAAGCCCCCAAAGAAAATGGTGATCATTGGCAGATTAGAACATGACTTCTAAATCAGGAAAGACATCTCTTAGAAATGGACCACTAATAGCCAAAGTTTTTCTTCTGCACAAACGGGAATCTCCAAATCATGGATTGTGGGCGATACATTAATGGATTACTCCAACCAAAAAAAGTGTGTTTACAAAAACAAAATGAAACATTGTTTTGTACAGAACAAGCCTTTTTATATGTCCCACACAAAAATAAAATAAAATAAAAAAGGCTAATACTTACCTCTGTTCCAGCCCCAAAGCAGCCCGATCGTTCTCTGCTGATGTCACTTCCCCTCACATGTGGACATGGGTTGCACGGAACGGGGCTATCTGAGGCCAGCGTGCTGCATCTGCTGGCATCAGATGCCAAATATGTACAGAATTTATAATAGCCATCCTGAAATTCTTATTCAGGGCTGGCTAATGATGCCCTAATGATGCGGCTGGAGTTAGAGTTACACCTTCGGCAGCTGAGGGGTTAAACTATGTGAGCCTTTCATAGTGAGACGCAGCACTTGAAATCAGTGAAGTGGTTATGGTGGCAAGAATAAGCCTTTAAGACAAAATCCTACTTTGTAGCATTTTACATGTATACATAATCACTTATCGTTCGCGAACGTCAAACATGAACTGTGTATTTGACATCAATAGAAAATAGAATTATATGTAACCGTAATGTGACCTAATATTCTTTAATTCTCCCATTAAACACAGAATCTCATTGACTTGAAGCTTAATTAGATGAACGCAATGAGAATAAATAAATAAAGCCTTCATTGCAATGCACATTGTGCGTACAACTCCATGGCCTTTTCCACTCGCTGCTGAGTGCTAATAACAAATATGTTTGTTCAGCGTAAGTAAGATGTTCTTGTCTTTCAAAAGGTACATTCTCCTGCTACAGCTTGCCCAGCGTAGATTGGAAAACGGTTTTAGACCCTATAAACATTTGTGGAATTCTTGCTTGTCAAACTTTTATTTTTCAGGCCCTTTAAAAATTACTTTGAGAAATCAATTCTAGAATTGTTTGATTTTGTGTTCTGTAACTATATGAATTATATCAGGCACAGTTGACAGTTTTTCTAGTGTAAAATTTACAATAATTGGAGTATATTTTCAAACGATTTTAGTTTGTGAGATATTGTAGCTACCAGTGTCCCTGTGGCAATTAACACACCAAAAGGGGTTGATGCCAGTTTGAATACACCAAATGGTTGGCTATGATTCTACATATCTGAATCCTCCTTTACCCCATGGCAGGATCGGAACAAAAATTTGGATGCATAACGACAAAGTTAAACCCACTCAACATCCCTTACAATCCATCTGAGGGGATGTGCTTATGGTGCTTCAAAAGGATTTGTCAAAAATAAAAGGGCCAACACCCAAAGTCTGCGAGCACCATAACCACTTCAGTAAGCTGCAGTGGTCATGGTCTTTGGACTGTCCATTTTAATTCAACATTATTAGTTTTTCAAACTAATAAAATGATTGTTGGCCTGCATGTTTAGGGTTTTTCACTGGGAGAGTATTAAAAGTTTTGCTATTGCCACATTATTGCTATATTAACCACAATTCCTTTTTTATAAATGTGGCCCATTGTTTCAGATTTTTATTTTTTTTTAAACATTGTGGCTTCTTGTTACAGTTACAAAACAAGTTTATAAAGTCATGATGAAGTCATATGAAGTAGCAGACAGAACTTTGAATTAGTTTCTGTGTATCAGATTCCTCGTGTTTGCTGGAGTGCACATTTCCCGGTATAAGGTGCAAGCTTGCACTTGTAGATCCTTAAATAACTACCAGTAGGCTCTGTAGACACTAGGCCAACAGCGACCTGATACTATCTAATTGTTTAGTCTGATATTTGTGTAAGAACCTTACCTTCTATTGTTTGTTACCCTGACAGGGATTATGTGAAATAGTCCCCTGGGGAGACAACACTGGGGGTGGAGACACGCCCACTTCGCCCTCAACCAAATAACTCACAAAAAATTACAGCAACTTCAATATATATGTATAATACTTACGCTTTCACTTGGAATGAGATTATAATTAGTGCTTAATTATTCCCTGTCAAACAGGTTTCCTTATTCTTTGTTATCAGCAGAAGAGTTAATGGGGAATTTTAAAAAGATCAGATTTTAGTGATAAAAAACTGCCACAGGGCTAAGTGCTTCCGTGATCAATTAGTTGGCTTTATGCTGGCTGGAAATGTTGGTAGACTTGGCTAATTGTAAATTAAACTAGTACTAACACTGTAGTTATTCCAATTACAATAAATAATTGGTGTAGATAGTCTCTGTTTGGGTTATTTAGAACACTATCCAATCAGGAATTCTCGAGCCCTTAACAGGGCCCTCCAAGCACTATAACCACTTTAGTTTGACATAGTGGTTGTAATGTTGTAAAGTCTATGAGAGCCATCTAAATAATTCTGTTAAACCATTATAGAACTCTGGCTCTTCCCAAGTATCCGTAGACTGCCCCCTCTTAGGATGCACTGATAAAACAGAAACTACATTTCTACATTATAAAGTGCGATTACTAGGGTAGATAGACAAAAAATACAGCCAAAATAAGGAAGAGGCTCCAGAATTTCAGCATGGCTGGACCCCAAGTACACAATGGCTGCAAACATTTTATAGATAAGAATGTGAAATTTCTTAAAGGACAACTGTCCCCTCAACACTATTTTTAAATATAATGATCCTTCCATCAAGCTTTGAAAGAAAATAGATTCTTTGTTAAATGAAGTGTAAAATTAAGTGTAATGTTAAAATATGAAAAATGTGTATCCCTACTTTTATTTTACAACAGGATCATTCAGCCATATACATGCACCTTGGGTCAGACAGTGTTTGAAAACAAACAGTCTCGATGGTCTTCCCTGCTTCACTCCCTGGAGAGTGCAGTGACATCATTAGAACAACTAACAAATTCAAACACTGTCTGATCCAACATGTGTATATATATATATATATATATATATATATATATATATATATATATATATATATATATATATATATATATATAGCTGAAAGATCCTGTCCTATACTAAAGACAGAGAGCAGTTTTCTCATTTTCTACATATACATAATTTTAAAAAATAAAATAAAAAATTATATATTTATTCTTTTATTACTTGATAAAGGGATTATTGCATTAAAAAAAAAATAGTTTGGAGGGGTCATTTCACCTTTAATATGTCATTGGTGAAAAGGGAGGTGGGGCTCTGGGTGCCAGAGTAGCCCCTCATTTCTGACAAACTGCTTAAAAAAAATGCAAAAAAACAAATACAAAACAAAAACAAACAAGAAACAAACACATAAGGACTGCACCCACAGATGCTACAATACGCTGTAGTGGTTATGGTGCTTTGAGTGTCTCCTTAGCTGAAAAATTAATAAGGATAACTTTCCCCAGCACAGACAATTTAATTTGCAATTTTGCTTGAGTGATGGAATCTTTTAACACGCATATGAATATTTGTGATTGCTGCTAACGATGTCTCTTATGAAGGTAATGCGTCTCTTAGTAATAGGTGGAACTCTATTTGAGGCTTTGTATGACAGTTTTAATAATGAGGCAGATCCCTTTATAAAATGGCTGCAGGGAGGTAAGTCATGCTACTGTATAGGGAGGTTGCCAAACCAGTCTTCGTAACAGCCTGGGAGCGTTTATTGGTGTACCCAATTTATGGGTAGCGCTGGGAAATTTGCTTAGGAATGCAAGCACTTGCACTACCAGTATTACTAGTGTATATTTCCCAGTCTGTCTCTATGCAATCTCAGTATCATGTGAGCATAAGATAATGTGACTTTTATTGACTTTTCTTCCTTACAAGGTGCGGAGTGTTTTGCTTTAGTGACTTTACTGTGCCTGCTTCTCTTCTTTGGCACCAAATGATTGAAAAGCCATCTTGCACAGTTTTCTGATACTGCGAGAAATAACCTTTTGAATGACAGAGGTGTGCTTTTAAAACTGCAATGGACTCACCTCTGCCATGCAAATGTTTAAAGTGGATAAGTCACAAGGTTGGCTTTTGCAAAACCAACTCGTTAAAGGAACTCTATAATATCAGGAATATAACATGTATTCCTAACACTATAGTGTTAAACTATTTAGGTCACCGACTCCCCCTTGCATCGATTTGAAAAGGTAATTTTACTAACCTTTTCTCCCATGCCGGTTTTGCTGTGGCTGGTTCCGCCTCCATGGCTGAGATCAGCAATAAACTTGATGATCTCAGCCAATCCAATGCAATCAATGCATCTCTATGGGGAACTTTCGGAGCTTCCATGCAGAGCCACTAGAGGTAAACACTGCTTTTTTTTCTAGGCACCATAAGCGCGTCATCTGATTGAAGTAGTTATCTGGATTCCCCTGGTGCTGTCCTTCCATTCAGCATTAAACTGTTTATAATGTTTCAATGCTAAACAAGATTGCCCAGAAACACATCCCCTCTGAACTGCTGGGTCTATTGAGGAAGCATTAGCTCGATCAGTTTTGGGCAGCTGAGATTTCCTGAGAGTGTCAGCTGACCAAATTCAGCCTATCACAGTGCCATTTCAGGTATCAATCACTTGAACTACAAGGAAGTATGTAATCTCACTTTAGCCACACCTCAAGTGGGATTATGAGATGCCAGGGACCCTCACTCAGTGTTAAACTGCTCGAAAATGGTTTAACACTGAATGGAGGGACAGTGCCAGGGTACTCCAGGCACTGTAACCCATTCAATGAGATGAAATGGTTATAGTACCTACAGTATACCTTTTAGTCTGACTCAATTGCCATTGATTTTCTGCTTTGAAAATTGATTCTGTCTTAGATCAATAAACACAGCTTTGTGCAACATTGTGGGTAGTGAAGTGAGAAGAGGATCTACAAAAAGAGAAAAACAGTAATATATGAATCTGATTTAAACATTCCACAGAAAGTGACTGTTACAGTTAGATATAACAATAATTGTGGAATGAGCATGTGCAGACAGCCACTGGGCTATATGCGGATTAGAGAATGGGGAAATGTGATTTAACAAGCATTTGCTACAGGCATGCCCTGATTAGGACATTTATAAATGGAAACATAATTAGAAACAGCCTTGAAAAATAATGGAACTTTCGGCAAAATGCTGCTTCTGTTAAATCTGTAAGAAGCTGTTTTCGTGCGACAAGATTCTATTTTTTCTATGTTTCCATTGCTGCTAAACAGGACAGTACCATCAGTCAATTCCAATTGGTTGAGCAGTTTCCTGGTATCATCTCAGCCAATAGGAATATAGCTTATTTTTTTTTAGAACTTATCTGAGCTTCCCTGCACACTCATTTTGAAAATGATGTCATTGCTGTCCAGTGCATCATATGAAAACCTAAAAACTCTTAATGGTTTTCTTTTTAAATATATTCTGGCTGAAAAAAATGTCAACTGGTTAAATAATGTATGGCTAAGTAGCCTCTAGCACTGAAAGGGAAATGATCACAGACGTCTCAACTTTACTTGTGACACAAAATGGTTTGCAGCGCATTTCATCTCTTAGTGTTTTGTGGTTTGCTCTAGAAAATATCAATGCTTCATGCGATGGGTGCCCAAAGCGTAATTCTCCAGTGGTTTTAGAAATAAAACACCCATGTTGTTTTGACAGCTTTAAAGCAAAACTGTAAACAAAGTTTTTTTCCTGGTACTATAGCTCCCTATAGTGCCTCCCTCATTACACCTCCCCCAAGGTAGTTAAAAACCCCTTCTGTCACTTACCCTCGGTACTGGTTTAGGCTCTGTCTTCTCTTCTTACTCGCAGTAGGACTTTCCCCATAGGAAAATATTGTATAATGCTTTCCTATGGGGTTTTGGGTGATGCTGGATGTCCTCCGGCATAGCGTGAGGACGTCCAGCGTCAGTTAGGCAACCAAAAGTCACCTAACAGTATGGAAGCCCCTCTAGTGGCTCTCTGTCAAAAACTGCAATAATTACCATAGCAGGGTTAAAGGACCTGGGACACTGCACCCAGAACACTTCAATGAGCTGAAGTGCTCTTAGTGCCTATAGTGTCCCTTTAATAATGCCTGAGAATCATGGGAGTTTTAGCTATGAAACAGCGAATGATCTACCTCTGGGCACCCCCATCTTATACTATTTGATTTTTAGAGATTTGTTTCTTTAGTTAAAATACACCATGCCTGGAAATGGCTAGAAAAAAACCTAGTTGGCTAAAAATCTCCTCAGAATGTTGTTTGGAGGGGCACGGAAAAAACAAAGTTGAACTAACCCATATCATATCAGTCACTCCGTGGAGCATGAACACTGAAACATATTTTAAAATCCTTTTTTCATTTCTGCAAAGAAGTGAAACTGTGCGTCAACACATTGTCACCACATGATGATTTAGCATTTGAAAAGAGTTCTGTCAGTCACAGACTGACTCCCTCAAGGTCATCTTTTCAGTTGGTATCTTCAAATCGGAGATAAATTAAGAATTTATCCGGACTGTGAAAAATAACATCCGTGTGTAAGAATCCAGTTTTGCTTGAAAGAAAGAAAAAAAAGGCTATACCTCTAGTACAACTAAACAGGAAGGTAAAAAAGTTCTTTATAGATTTTAGATAATTTTAGCAATCAGATTGTTTGCACTCATATAATGTGCCTGTACTTGTTTAAAAAAAAAACAAACAAAAAAAAACAACTAGTTTTCAAACGGAGTGGGGCAAAGACATTAAATATCTGCCCTAGGCTCTTCTTTCTTCCGGTTAACAAACTTTTAATACTCACAAAAAGACAGATCTGTGGTTTATATATAGGTTTTGTTTATGACCTTTCACAGTTCTTAGTAGCAATTATAAAGTGATCACTTTCATCTTTTGAAGTGTTATGTTATAGACACTTGAATTATCAAAAAGTTAACATTGGCTGAAGCATTCATCTTTGTTCATTTGTAGACTACAATTTGAGTGAAAGTCAAGTTTTAAACTATTCAGTTGGCATTTGTTATTACTTTACATTCAATGTGGTTATAAGTAAAGAGGTTAGTTATTTGTGTAAAAAGAAAAATTTAATTTCCCCTCAAAAACTTACTGATAGATACAAACAAACCAACGGTTATATTGCAGTCTCTTGAATTACCAAAACAAAGTTTAAATTGACTGAAAGCATTCATCTTGGCTCATTTCTAGACTACAATTTAAGTGATTTTGAGCAAAGTTTTAAACTAATAAGCCGGTATCTGTTATGACCACATTGAATGTGAAGTAATATGTAAAGGGGTTAGTTATTTGTGTAAAAAAAAATTAACCAGAAGCTTCCTCAGCTACAAACAAAACAAATACATCAAAATGTATTACTTATTGAAATTCACCCATATAAGGAACACTTCGCTAGACATTTGTACATAAAAAGCTGCAAACGTTACCGGCAATTAAAGGAACACTTTAGTGTTAGAAAGACTCCACCTCCCCCTAACCCCCAATCTCTCACCGGCAATGTAAAGGGTTAAATAATCCTTTATTCACTTAACTAGTCACCCTTTGTCTCCCCCGAAGTTAGACGATGGAAGGGACCTAATTCAATGCTCAATGCTTTTCTTAAGGGGTTTTCCTTGACATTAAATGTCTTCATGCAGAGCGTGAAAACGTCCAGCATAATTTCACAGAGAAAATCCGTTAAACTCCAGGAAGTGCCTCTAGTGGCTGTGTGGTAGAAAGCCACTAGAGGCAGTCTTAGTACTGCAGTATAAACATTGCAGTTTCTCTAAATCTGAAATGTGTTACATTACATGACTAAGGGGGACAGGGACACTGCACCCAGACCATTTTGATGGCATGGGTGCCTGTACTGTCCTTTTAATATAATAGTGGATAATTAAAATCCAGGCAGATATAGAAGTCTAGCTTGTTTATAGTCCAGAGCTTAAATTTCATAAACTTTCCAAACAATGTAAACAATGTTCGAAAAACTGTAGAAATTATTTATCTGTGGAAGTCACCATTAAAGTCCAAGGGGATTTTTGAAGATGAATCATTTATAAAAAATATTTGTGTCTGTTTTCTTTCTTACATTTTTTTTTTTTAACAGTATCAAATTATTGAAATACTCATTAAATCTAAGCCTAGGTTAGCAATTGCCAATATGGGCCAAAATATCAGATATTCCACCATGCTGAATACTGGCAAAGTATCCTGGGAAAATAAAGTTTGCAAACATCAGCAGTGCCATTAATTTAGGCTTCTGAGTATAATGGGAAAATAAAGACTGACTGGAAATTGTGTCATCAGTGATCTAGAGTTTTGAAGCGAAGTCATATACCGTTTCTGATTTTAGTTGGAATAGTGTGTCAGCGACTGATTTACACAGAGTCTACACTTAGTCCAAATCACACCAAGGGTAAAAGCTACTTTTTATTTTTCAAGAGTTGTTAACCATCTCTGTGGCCATTATGAAGCACCTGGGGGCTATACTTAGCTTCTATGCAGCGTATGATTGACTTGTCCAGGTGTTTGCATTTACTAGTCATCGGACGTGGCTGGGCCAAGAATTTGTCAGACCTAACAAACTGCAGGTCAAAGGTAATGTATGTGGATACTGCAATCAGTGGAGCACCCTCAGTAATGTACCACCTGTTCTGGACACGTGTCCAACATCAGCTTTTTAACATTTACTAGCAGAATAAGATCAATTTTCCAGGGATACTGGGCAGTATCCTCTACCATCTTTATGAAACAGGACCACAAAAATTGAATTCATACAGAACAAGTGTAAGCAGGTTTATTTTTTTTAGGAGGGCTCTCATCATCTGTTCCTGTTCCTGTCAAATATTTTTTTGTCAAATTTCAGTTCTAGATTTTTACATATTTCTAATTTATAAACCACACATAAGAAGCAAAAAAAAAAAAGACCTCTCAAAAACCACCCACGCATTCATTTCACAAGTATTGGTAAGAATGTATGTGACTTACAGTCACACAAGGTTATTCATATTATCGGGAACTGTGGAAAATTGAATAGGATCATCAGCTTGCGTCATTGCTGTACTTAACCCAGTTTACACAACTGCAAACCCGGGCTCTGTACACAATGATAGCAACTGCAGTATAACAGCTGCAGGCCTCCCAACAGTCCCGATTTCAGGGTCCTGTCTGCCAGGTGTCCCTGAAGTTGGGACTGTTCATTGGTGTCCCGCTTCTGGGGACACCAGGAAAGTGTTCCGAGGCGGAACTAGTGTTTCCAAGAGCGGGCACTAGGACCATGCCAGAAGCTCTTCAGCACTCCTTGCATGGTCCTGAAGGTTGGGGGCTGGTCCATTCCACCCATAATGGGCATCACATGGGTCACTGGCATCACTGGCAAAGCCCCTCAGGGCTTCCTCCATCCCATCCCGATTCTCTGCTCCAGATTGTTGGGAGGTATGCTGCAGTCCGTTTTTTTGAGCAGTTCCATTCTTCCTATGTAATGATTAGAACTGCGGGCGTGGAGTTAAAGTCCTTATTCCACAAACCTTTGCTTTAGTGTTTTGGGAGAAGATCATACACCATAGTCTAGAGCAGTGGTTCCCAAACTAGTCCTCATGGCCCATGATTGATCCAAGATTGATGTATTTCCCTGTTTTATTCCTATGGAGATACTGACAAAACCTGGACTGTTGGTGAGTCTTGAGGACTGGTCTGGAGAACGAGTCTATTGACTGGTGGAGCCTCTTCCTAGTCAAGGAGGGCTGTGCTAGCTGCAAAATGAAATGCAAAATGTCTATTTTTTACCCATTGGGTGTTTTTTCTCTTTTTTTTGTTTGCTTTGCATATTATTCCCAACACAGCTTTATTTAATAAATACATTCCTGATGTGAGGATCAATTCCTGCCCATCGCACTTTTAATCCTTTGTTAGGCAGAGGGGACGAAGAATGTTTTGGAGTAGCCATCGAAGGGTTATATCATGCATATGCCCTCTAATACATTCACCCATAACCAATAGAGCCACAGTACAGCTGATGGTAATCAGAAGGGCAGTTTATTCCTTGTTCTGTGAGATAGAAGTTGCATTTCTTTGGCAGACAGAATATCTTGGATCCTGTAACCTTACTTTAGGGGATTTATGCCCCCACATCTCCAATCGCACGACTGAAATATTATCTAAATGTGTTTGTGATGCTGATTTTGCTTAGAGAGCACTTTCCACTCTCCTACATCTGCTCTCTCCAATTCTCTCATCCTTTGGGGGCAAACAAAGTGTTTTCTGGCAATATCAGATGCAGATTTAGAGAATAATTTGACTTCTGCTGAAATTAAACAAGAACAATCACAGTATCCCGTAGCTGTTCTTTAATGGAAGGATAAATAATTCATCAACATGCTTTAGATGATGGCTGCCATATTCCTTGAGTTTAAAAGACCCTTTAGAAACTAGGTCTATATGTAGCAACATATTAACCCTTTATGGATAATAAAGCTCACAACTGATGCAAAGGAGTTATGGTGCTTGGAGTTTCTTTTCTAAAAGGGTCAGGCAATTGAAAAAAAAAAAAAATAAAAAAAAAATCAAACCAACAATATTTTTTTGCCTATTACCCCTTCTTAGTTTTAGTTTTTTTCCATTTAAAATGTTTTTTTTAAATTAATTTTTAAAAATATTTTCGATAAAAAACATTTCACGAGAAAGAAGAAAACAAAAAAAGGATCTTTCTTACAATGTATATTTTCTATTAGTCCACTCAATCACAGTCTATTTCATTGAGCTCGTTGTCATTTTCATCTTTTTAAAGTCCCTCTTATTGAACGAGAGATGAAATATTATAAAAACTGTGCTGGGTTTATTTACAAAATCATAATTTTTATTTTAATTGGCCTTTCTGTATAAGTAAATAGAAAGGTTTCGGAGAGATAACAAGGCTTTCTAAAGGCCACACAATACGAAAATATTAATAAATATATAAATAGAGCGAGAGAGATCAATCACACACACAACTATTGTGGAGCCAAAATACATTGAAATTTGTCCTATATATTTCCATCTGATTTTATTATTATTACAATTTTTTTTTTTTATAAACTAAAGGATAGACTTAAAAGGGGTTTGTTTTTGTATTAAATCAGGGGATTGGTGAGTAGACCAGGTCACAAACAGTTAATGAAAAGACCACACCAACAGCTTCCTGATTATAAGTGTCACATTTCTAAGCAGCCTCTACATAATCTAAGAAACGTCAGTTATGTTATTTAACCTTTTTAGTGCTGGAACGAAGCTACACTTTAATCTATTTGACACTGCAAGGAATGAATTACACCGATTGCCCATAAGTCAATCTTGTTTGGAAGAGCTGCATTAACCAGAGGGGTAGTGATGTTAACCTTTGCACTACTGATGTTTTCCAACTACAATTCCCATGATGTTAAGCTAGCCTAAACACTGGCTGAGCATAATGGGAAACGTAGTTTGCAAATATATGTTGGATCAGCAATACATTAAAGCAGGGGTGCCCAAAAGGTAGATCCTCAGATGCTTTAAGACAACAGTTCCCATGATGCTTTGTCATTCTAAATATATTCTAGATGCATGCAAAGCATCATGGAAGTTGTAATTCTACAACATCTGATGATCTACCTATTTGGCACACCTGCATTAAAGAAACATGTATCTGCCAAGTTCCACATGGAATTGGGGACCACACTGGACCCAGAAAGCATTATGGGTCATGTCTTAATTTGGTACCCTGCCCAAGGTCACATCATATTTTAATCCAGCTCTGGTTTTTGGTAGATGTTGATATCTGTCTTAAAACTTATGCCCAAGTTCTGACATTCCATAATAAATCAGGACACAGAACCCTTTGCAGTTTCTAAGCTACAGGAATTCATTTCTTCTTCTTTGCTGTGATTTTAAGTCTACCTCTAATATGGAACATGCTATATATCCTCCTAAAATATAATAAGTTAAATGTCTACCATAAGCCGAGATAAAGAGCAGCGTATCCTTATGATGTATTGTAAAGCCCACAGATCTGAAAACTCAATTTCAGAAGCATCTGTGCAACCGTCTTTCAAATATCCAAAAGAATTATTTTTGCTTGAATCTATCAGGATAAAAGCAAATGGCTGGTCTCATTGTGCAGAATTATATATAAAGGAGGGTAATTTACCAAGTGTACAAGTGCAGATTGTAGTCTTTAAAGGAGGAGGAACAGGCTGAATATGGCTCACAATGCAATTTAAATTAATTCTCTGTTCCAAGTGCGATAACTGCAGGATTGCGTTTCAGATCTGGATACACGTCTGTGCCCCATGCATTTCTTAGTATCAGTGTAACTTCTTAACGACTCTGTGGGCTAAATTGATTGACTCATGTACCCCTGTCCAAATTCCATCCTACTTCTCTACTTTTGCAGTGCTGCCCCTCTTTATCTGCATCCCTCTTTGGTACTTTCCATTTTCGAGCATCCTCCTCAGAACTTATCCTCTCCCTGCACACCTTGCAGTGTTTCCTCCTTTCTACATCCATTACAGTGCTTTCCCCCTCTGTACACCCCCTGCAGTGCTTCACCCTCTCTCTGCATCCCTTGCAGTGCTTCCCCCCCCTCTCTCCACCCCTGCATAGCTTTCCCCCTTCTCTCCACCAGCTGCAGTGCTTTTCCCCTTCTCTGCACCCCTGCAGTGCTTTCCCCCTTCTCTGCACCTCTTCAGTGCTTCCCCTTCTCTACACCCTCTGCAGTGTTTTTCCCCCTCTCTTCACCCCTGCAGTGCTTCCCCTCTCTTCACCCCCGCGGTGCTTTCCCCCTCTCTGCACCTCCTGCAGTGCTTTCCCCCTCTCTGCACCCCTGGCATTTGCTTCTCCCCCCTCTCCACCCCATTTGCTTCCCCCCTCTCCACCCCTGCAGTTCTTCCCCCACCCCCCTGCAGTGCTTCCCCCTCTCCACCCCTGCAGTGCTTTCCCCTTCTCTCCACCCGCTGCTGATTCCCCCTTCTCTCCACCCGCTGCAGTGATTCCCCCCTTCTCTGCACCTCTTGAGTGCTTCCCCTTCTCTACATCCTCTGCAGTGCTTTCCCCCTCTCTTCACCCCCTGCAGTGTTTCCCCCTTCTCTGTACCCCTTGTAGTGCTTTCCCCCTTCTCTGCACCCCCTGCATTGCTTTTCCCCTTCTCTGCACTCCCTGCAGTGCTTCCCCGTCTCTGCACCCCTTGCAGTGCTTCCCCCCTCTCTGCACTCCCTGCAGTGCTTCCCCTTCTCTGCACCCCTGCAGTGCTTGCCCCCTCCTCTATACCCCTTGCAGTGCTTTCCCCCCTCTCTGCACACCTTGCAGTGCTTCCCCCCTCTCTGAACACCCTGCAGTGCTTTCCCCCCTCTCTGCACACCCTGCAGTGCTTTCCCCCCTCTCGGCACACCCTGCAGTGATCTTCCCCTTCTCTCCACCCCTGCAGTGTTTTCCACTCCTCTCTCCACCCTCTGCAGTGCTTTCCCCCTTCTCTGCACCTCCTGCATTGCTTCCCCCTTCTCTGCACCCCCTGCAGTGCTTTGCCCCCTCTTTGCACCCCCTGCAGTGCTTTCCACTCTCTCTGCACCCCCTGCAGGGTTCCCCCAGTCTCTTCCCCCTGCAGCGTTCCCCTCTCCTATTACCTTCTGCAGTACCCTTTTCTCTCTTCATCCCCTGAATGTTCCCCCCCCTCTTTTTTACCTTCTGCAGTGTTCCCCTCCTCTATTCACCCCCTGATCTTCACTCTGTAACCTCTGCAGAGCTGTATTGCTCCCTTCTTCTGTTCCCAGCTCCTATTCCAGACCTATCCCCAATCTTCTCCACTTATGCTTCTTATGACAATTCTTAGAGCAGGCAAATGCCATACTTGTTTTAACCTGACTGTTCATCTGTAGACATATGTTACGGTTGTAAATATAAATTCATGTCATGTTGTGGGAAGTGGTGTATTGTGTCAGAGTAAACAGTTTTAAATAGGAACAATCACTTCCCTGGAATTTTTAATACTATACATATATTTAATAAAATAGGTTTATTGGAAGGTGTGAAAGATCGTTCATTGAAATAAACACATATTTGACAGATCTTAACTTTGTTGGATTGAACAAGTCTATCTTGTTCCCAAATCTGCAAGTAGGATGTTTCCTTATTCTTGTATCTACAGTGTACACTACTAGGGTTATTCATTAAACTTATAATTCAAAGTGGATTTAGAATGCTCACTTTATTGAATATCCCTATATGATTTTCTGTTCTCGTTTGAATGTTCTCGCTGAGGACATTTGAGTGAATAGCATCCCAGAGTTAAGATTGAACCACTCTATGCCATTACAAGAGAGCCAATCTGTGCTCCAGAATATGTGAGTGTACATAATTACCTTTAAGATTGTGATGTAAATTTAAAAACATATTACACCGTAGAGCATCTCTCTCTCTCTTTTGTTTCTATTAGATATCCTAAGGACTTACACAAATTGGAGACAAGTTCTATCAATCCACAAATGGGATTGTGCTGCACAAATATATATACCAGAGCTGATTCCATTTTTGTAATTACTATATCCACTACATTATTGAATTCCTTTCTCTCTCATACTGTCCTTGAAACCCTGAGGTGCATGTTACTACATTTTTTACTTTCAACTGGTTGCCTTGATTTTAATGGAACACTATAGCATCAGGAATACAAATACAGAGTGCCTGTTGACTGTTTTGGTCCCCAGCTATTACCTGCAGGGAGTAAAAAAATATATATATATATACCTTTACCTTTTCTACTTTGCTGTTAAAGTCTTTGTGGGGAAGCTCCACCTCCTTGGATTAGATAATCAAGATCAACGATCTCAGCCAATCTAAAATGTTTACATTTCAGGGTTATGGCGGTCTCTAGAGGCGTTTCCTCCGTGAAATGTTGCTGAACAGTTTCCATTTTGCATGAGGACGTACACTGTCTTGATTCAATGCTTTCCTATGGGGAAGGCCTAATGCGCATGGCACTTGCCGCGCATGTGCGTTTGGCTTCAGATCTCCATGACATTGGCCCAGTCCAGTGCCAAGGAACCTTAGGTAAGTGGAAAAAAAAGCAGTTTTAACCCTTTATTTGCAAGCTGGAAGGTGGGGACAGAAGGAGATTATAGTGTTTGGAATATAGTTTTGTTTTCCTAACACTTTAGTGTTCCTTTAAACACTGCCTCTACTTCTTGCAATGTACATCATTATCAATTTTGCTTCCGCTGCATTTTGATTTAAAGGTATGCATTGTAATGTAAATAGAAACATAGAAACATAGAATGTGACGGCAGATGAGAACCATTTGGCCCATCTAGTCTGCCCAATTTTCTAAATACTTTCATTAGTCCCTGGCCTTATCTTATAGTTAGGATAGCCTTATGCCTATCCCACGCATGCTTAAACTCCTTTACTGTGTTAACCTCTACCACTTCAGCTGGAAGGCTATTCCATGCATTCACTACCCTCTCAGTAAAGTCATACTTCCTGATATTATTTTTAAACCTTTGTCCCTCTAATTTAAGACTATGTCCTCTTGTTGTGGTAGTTTTTCTTCTTTTAAATATAGTCTCCTCCTTTACTGTGTTGATTCCCTATAGAATCTCAACAATTCATGGAAAATAATTTTTACATTTAGACTTCGTTATTATGAACAGGTATGCTCAAAACGCTGAGTCTTTATACTCCGTCACATGATAAAATATCTGGCAGAATCGGAGATGCACTAAGTGACCATGTGGTTAGAAATGCTTCTTCGGCTTTTTAAACAAACAAATGTAACATAAAGCAGATTATTGATCCAGTATCACAAATATCCTGCCTGTTCTATCCAATTTGTCACTTCATCTGAATTACTACATACATTATACATACTGCTCACTCGAATCATGCATAAACATTTAGCATCCTTGGATGCCTATACATCTATAATCAGATTAATAAACCTAATCTGTTTGTGGCTGAGAATTCATTTTATTTTAACCCTGTGTCGAGGTGCGTGGCCAAATTACCCACACTCTGTGCTTCTCCAGCAATTGAACATATGTGATTTATGTCCCAATCAGAATTATACTTTGTGTCCTGCTTAGCTGATAATTTAATAATAGCAATTTATAATTAGCGATTACTGGGTTTCTTATAAATCTCTCATGACACTTAAGGAGTTAATATTTCCAAATGCGGCGACTCATTTCAAAGATTTCAAGATGAAACTAATTGGGCCTCAGCACAGAAAACAATATATTAAAACAGTATAGGTCATCTTGTATTGGTGATGTGTAATTGTACGGGCTATTTACAATGATGGGCTTTGCTTTTGGAATTTTAATTGGCTTCTCCTTCTGTGAATTCAGTCAAATAGCACATAGTGGAACTGGAGGGGAAAAAGTGAGAAGTACTAAAATACTTGATACAGGTTATTCATGCTGGGCTTACAGGACGTAATGGATTGTCAGGAAATAAACTAGAAAAAAATATATATATAACACTCTCTCTCTCTCTCATATTTCAGGAAAAAATTTATGTTTATAAATCACAGACCCATAAAAAATATATTATACATTTTTTTTTTTAATTAACTTCAAGAAACTTTGCACATCCTCGTGTCCTCACACCCAGAGCAGAAAACAAAAATTGCGTATAGACTGCATAACATGTTACCATAGTCTGGCAAAGTTCTCTTTCATTTTCATAAGGGAAATGGTGCGAGATTTGAGCTGCAAATCTAACTAATGGAATACTTTATCTAAGCTATGGTTTCACAAGTCTGTTGAGTGATGGCATGAAGTTGGCCCTCAATTGTCTGGTCGACAGTGGAAGCAATCCGATGCCTCGTACCATCCTTCCATGCGATAATCTGGCAGTGACTGGAAACTAAAGAGCGTTTCAGCTGTTCTTTCCACAACAGCTGAAGGTAATATTTTATCTTGGGTGGCAACACTGCTCAGAGGAGACCAGGCGTTACCTACTCATTGAGAACGTTGCTGGTGTTCAAGTTTTCATAAAATGTATGTCTATCTTTAATAATAACATTCCCATCCAAAAGAACCCAAAAACAAACAAACAAAAAACAAAAACAAAATGGATATAATCTCTCCCCCCCCAATATATACAATATTTGTACAAAACAATTAAAAACTTGTTTGGAAAGAAACTGGACTCCCTGTGAACCAAATACAAATCACTAGCTAGCCAAAAGACAGGGCACATGTATTTATTTTTTGAGATGTTTAAAAGATCAAGGTTATTCACTACATTGATGGGAATTAAAATTTTATTTCAAATTTAAAGGAACACTTTAGTGTTAGGAATACAAAGATTCCTCGCAGCTCCCTCACCCCCATTCATGAAAGGATTAGAGACGCGCTCCTCCACCGCCAGCTGATGGGGGCCCTAATGCACATGCTCTCCTGTAAGGATTTGCTTGACACTGGATGTCCTTATGCAAAGCGTGAGGACATTCAGTGTCGTATCATGGTAGACAGTCATTAGAAGCAGTCATAGCACCTCAATGTAAACTTTGAAGTTTCCCTGCAATTGTCCCTGCCCCCTTACATTACAGGGCTAAGGGGACAAGGACACTGCACCCAGAACATTTCAATAAGATGGTGTGGTCTATAGTGTCCCTCTAATGCCAAAATATTACATTTACTTTGAATTCTCAATAAATCTCTTTAGTAAATAACCTATTTTTTATTCACTTATGGGATCAGCCGAATAATGATCTTGTTTCACCGTCCTGGGATTTTAATTTCTGACCAGTGAATGCAAGTGAATTTACAGTAGAAAATACAACAATTAAGGGGTTTATTTGCCAATTAGTGAAATCTGCTGACCTGACAACCATGTTGCAATATTTATTCCAAAACAGGAGAGTTGGAGAAAAAAAAAAAAAACCTCAAAAGGAAGAGGTTGCAGTACTCATGAATCCCAGTTTTCTGTAATTTCCCCAGATTAATTGTGAAAAGCTGATGGTATATAGAATAACTAATTTGAAATGGAAAATGTGATTTAAAAAACAAAACAAAAAACAAAACCCCCCACAAAACACTCACACAAGAATGTTTATGTTAATCCCAGAATGATTGTTTTGATATTTGACCTACATTGTGCAATGAAAATAATGTCAAATCCGGAGACTGAAAAGGCCTAGCTAAATTTCCCATGACGGCAACCAAGCGAACTATGATGCTTAGTATGCCTAAACCAGCGATGGCTAATAATAAACACTAAAGATATTTATGTATACTACATTTCCCATAATGCACAGCCAGGTTAAATCTTGGTCCAAAAATCTGCAGTGCCAAGGTCTGTTCTAGTAATTAACCCCCCAGCATAACACAATCCTTAAAAACTATACTGCATGCAGTAAAGGTCAAATACATTTTTATTCTCTAAGCTCGTAGTGAGCGTCTGCTGCAATTCTTTCAGTGCCGAGACACCATAATCTGATGATCATAAACAAGTCCTTGCTTGTATACGGTTGTAATGAGTTTTACACGCACGATAACATCGAAACAATTATTCTGGGATTAAAACAAACATTCCTATTTTATTTTTCATGCAAGCTTATCACACATTATCCATCTTATATTACAGAATTTATAAGCCTTATGTATGAAAAGTCATTTTAGAGAAAGAAAAAAAATTAAATATAAAATCAAAAACTATTTATCCTACAGAGATCATATTAAAAATATATGTACGAGATGCCTACCTAATTGTTCTGCCATAGATTTAGATCATGGGATTGCCTAATTTGAGACTAGTAGTGAGACTTTGTGATACATGAATATACATTATGCACTATAGGGAGTTATTTTACTGTGGAGCTCTGTGCCACATGCATTCAACACATCGCTGTGAGTTTTCTTACTGCGGAGCTCTGAGATTCACTTTTGTACAATGACACATTGCTGTTCATTTTATGTGGTCACAAACAGGAATGCTAGTGGTTCAGGGGTAGTCTAGAGATTTCACAAAGTCCTTCTTTGGGGTATTTTTAATTTTTGGAAAATGTAACCCTTTAAGAACGGATTGTCCAAGTTCTCAACCAAAACAAAAAACTTAGACTTTAAGCTGCATGTCTGTTCACCCATAATTTACTAATATGGTTTATTTTATGAACTTTTTTTTTCTCTTTCCAAAGTGTGAATTATTAAGAAATTTTTGTTATTTCCCAAGTTCTGTCTGAAATTTTAACCATCAATTTCAGAATACTGATTTGGGATGTCCAGATCGTTGGGTTGTGCTCGGCTGCCCTAATGTTGTTAAAGCCCTCTTTTGTAGGATGGTATAGCATGCCCCAATGTCGGGAAAGAGTTAAGGAATGCGATAGCACTAGGAATACAAATACATATTCCTAACATTTTAGCGTCCATAGTTACTTTTCTGCATTTTCACTGGTTTAGCCTATAAATTTTGTTCTTTTGAATTTTTTTTTTTTTTTTGATCGGATATCCCTCCCAGCTCACTGTTACACTGTAATTAAATCGAATATATCTGAAGTATCTTTAGCGGGCATCTTTTTAATTGTCAGTATGTTGGGCTTTTTTCAGATTGATACATTTGTGGCAAAGAGCCAGTACTTGATGGAACTTCAGAATATAGGCAGCACTTGTTGAGTACAAGAACACACCTTGATTAATTAGCAGATACGTCTGTTGGCGAGAGCCTGCAGGAGTGGATTTGACAATAGGCCTTGACAGGCGTTTGTCTGATGAAGATTTAGAAGGATTACAGAGACAATTGGAACGGTGGGTTCTCAGAATTCACAGAGCTGTCGCTAGTATCACAAGATCAGATATTAGTATGATAGGATTCAGGAGGTAATTACATCAGGCTGTGTGGAGTTTAATGCTCAATGGATTTGCAGCATTTATAGATCTGACATCCTCCCCGTCTACTGCAGGAGACACGGGAAAATCTGCATCTCTCTGCTATTTATAACTGTTTCATAATAAAATGTGTTCAATAGATATTTACTGAGAAAAAAATATAAAACTTAAAATTATGGCTCATTCGATTCTAAATGAAGTCAACAAAAAGTGAGATATTAAGAGAAATTCAAAGTGATTTTTGAAATTAAGGTCAGAGTAGTCAAACTGCAAAAAATTCTCTAAATCAGGTATGATTTCCATTCGACTACTCTGGCCTTAAATTTGAAATTTACCTTATATTCACTTTTAATTCTCACTTTAGTAAATAACCCTAAGTGTGTATTGATAATGTTTATGTCATTGCAGCAAAGTATTTTACTTGGTAGATACTTTCCTAATGACTCATTCTGTCTGTTTCTTTAAACCACTTCCTTATAGTTTATTAATCTAATCAGGGTCCTATTCGTCTTTTGTTTCTGTCAGCTACTTGATACTATATGTCCCCACCATATAATTGTACAGCACTACAGAATAGGTTGATGCTATATAACTGATAATATTAATAAAAATAACGCACAGTGAAGTGAGGTTTCTTGCCACAGAACTCTGTGATACTCTACACACACCACACAAATGATGAGTTTTATTATTGCTGCGGGGCTCCGAAATAAATCTTAAAACATTACTCATTAGTATGATTTTTTTAGATTTTTTTTTTTACTATGGAGCTCTGTGGCACTTTCATAAACGCTACAAATTACAAATTTATAATTTTGGAAACTCAATAATTCCCCCATATACAATTCACATTACTGTGAGGTTTGCTGCTGAGCTCTGTGATTCTGTAATCAGTGTTAATTTTGTCGACTAACAATTTTAATCAACTAAATATTTTTGAGATTTAGTCGACTAAACTAGAATGAAACTAAAACAAATCAGATGACTAAAATACAACTAAAATGTCATTTTAGTCAAAAGACCATGACTAAAACTAAACATTTGCCGCCAAAATTAACACTGCACAGGGGCTGTGGAAGGGGCAAAAGAGGCAGACCAGGGCTTGGGAGAGAGACACCTACAGGGGCTGGGAGGACACAGAGAGACAGAGAAGGGGCAAAAGAGACAGATAGAGGCTTTAACTAAACTCATTAGATTTTAAAAAGTCATGTCGACTAAAATCTACTGGAGGTTTAGTCGACTAAAACTAGACTAAAATTAAAACAATGCAGATGACAAAAATACGACTAAAACTAAAATGTTTTTTTTAGTCAACAAACTATGACTAACACTGAATTAAAAATTGTGCTTTGTTTGTACAGTTTGTTGCAGTGAAGCTCCGTGATAAACTCACAAGGTCACAAATACTTAGCAAGTGACCCTTTAGCACCGACAATTCCCATTTGACCTAAATCCCTTAGATCTTTTCTACCCGGTAGTTGTTTTTGTATCCAGGTATGTTTAGTGTATTCACTTTAATATTGGGGCCCACGTACAGAACAGATTCTGCATTTTGTTTTCTGAATTCATAAGGAAGTGTAAAATCTGCTTTGTGAACTGCAGTCATAAATGCATAGCATAGGAAAGGTAAGGTCTAGATTTAGAACCTCTAAGTTTTGCTGCCACCTGCTGGTCAAAAAAAATGCTGCTTAGCCAGTATCTAATTTGAGTGAGCCAGCTGTCGTAAGAGGTTTTATTGTGTGTATATATTTGTTTTGTGTTCATTTTGGAAGCTCTGTAATATTTTTATTGCTGTTGACAGGTTTGTGGTATTCAGTATTCATAATATCCATGTTTAGTGTGACCATATAATCCTTTACAGAGAATGCATGAATAATGGATATGTCATTATTGCATTAAAGCCATTACTGACCTCTAGCATGAATCTTAATAAATGTCTCCAATTAAGGGGATGGTATATTTATCATGGTTATTAACCATTTGAATATCAAAAGGTCAGTTCTCGGTGGCTATTTATAACTGGAATTTAGTCCTCAAGTCACGATGGTCCAGTGTCATACCTCTGGCTGCCTCTATGTTCGTTGTCCCGGGTCGATCTTGTCTGGTTAAACATATTGCGCTCTACTCCCTCTGACTCGGAGGCCATGCGGCATTCTCCAACTTCGAATACCGGATGGGCTCTGCATATCACAGGTCACACAAGGTTGCTGGGCTTCTATGGCAACAATGCGCCTAGTGCAGAAGTCCTTAAAGTTATAAGACTGTGCAATAATGTGTGTTTTTATAGATCCCTTAGTCCTTTTATTGCATCACATTTGTGGAATACATTAGGCTTCCTTCTGAGGTCACACACCTTTGTGTGATTTGGCGCAGGGGGATGAAGCTGTCCAATAGCAATATATATCCCTATATATACTTCCTTATTCCTTGAGATAATTGCCCTGCCGTGGTTACTGGTACCCAAGAGTGCGTTCTGAGTTTAGTAGTGTTCCTGTTTCTGACCCGTCTTAGTTTTGACTATTCTGCTTTTCCGGTATCCCTGACCTCGGCTTGTTAGTATGTATCTGAGTAATTCTGGAATAATTGACCATAACTACTGACATTGTATTTTTGTCTTTCTTGGGCACACATAAGGCCTGGACACTCTGGCTTGGTGTATGTAATCGCTTTCTTTTTCATCCTACTTACTGGCGGTTTCCCTATTCTCTGTGTGTTTGGGTCACCCCATCCTTGTACAGTGCTACGGAATCTGATGGTGCTAAATAAATAATCATAATAATATCCAGTTCTTTATCTATGCTTAAGGCTTCTAGTGTAGCATTGACATAATGTGTATGTCACATTGTACAACATTTCGTCCTTTTAACCGAAAATAATGCTACTTTATGAAATCTCATAAAATGATGATCCTTGAGGCTGCCAGGCTCCATACTGTTTGGCAGAGAAACCGCTAAAATATATAAGAATATTTAGCTACTTTGAGAACTTACTCAAGCAGGCTGCAATACAGATGGCGGATATGTAGGGACCTCATAAGCATTTTGTAAATCTGTAACAGTGTGAGTTGTATAATGTGTGTACAGGGTTTGTAAATATCTGTGTCCTGTTTATAGGGCAGGTAAACAGCTGAGCTATATCCCAGATATGCATGGTTAGTACAGAGCTACACTCCACCCCAGATATGCAGGGTTAATACAGAGCTACACTCCACTCCAGATATGCAGGGTTAGTACAGAGCTACACTCCATCCCAGATATGCAGGATTAGTACAGAGCTACACTCCACCCCAGATATGCAGGGTTAGTACAGAGCTACACTCCACCCCAGATATGCAGGGTTAGTACAGAGCTACACTCCATCCCAGATATGCAGGATTAGTACAGAGCTACACTCCATCCCAGATATGCAGGGTGAGTACAGAGCTGAGCTCTATCCCAGATATGCAGGGTTAGTACAGAGCTATGCTCCATCCCAGAAATACAGGGTTAGTACAGAGCTACGCTCCATCCCAGATATGCAGGGTTAGTACAGAGCTAAGCTCCATCCCAGATATGCAGGGTTAGTACAGAGCTGAGCCATATCCCAGATATGCAGGGTTAGTACAAAGCTGAGCTTTATCCCAGATATGCAGTGTTAGTACAAAGCTGAGCTTTATCCCAGATATGCAGGGTTAGTACAGAGCTATGCTCCATCCCAGATATGCAGGGTTAGTACAGAGCTGAGCCATATCCCAGATATGCAGGCTTAGTAGAGAGCTGAGCTCCATCCCCAATCTATAGAGTTAGTGGAGAGCAGAGTTTATGCATACACTTTACGGACAAAAGTATAGGGACTCCTGACCATTACACCAACAGGGACTTTTATGACCTCGCATTCTAAATACATAGGGTAGTTGGTCTACCCTTTGCAACTTAAACAGAGTTCACTCTTCTGGGAAACTTTTGTTCAGCAATGATGTTGGAAGAGACGTCTCCATTCCAGTTCATCCCAAAGGTGTTCGATGGGGTTGAGGTCAAAGCTCTATGCGAGCCAGTCAAGTTCTTCCACAGCAAACTCATCCAACCATGTATTTATGGACCTTGCTTTGTGCACTGGGGCACAGTAATGCTGGAATAGAAAAAGGTCCTCCTTCCCCCCCCAACTGCTCCCACAAAGTTGGAAACATAGCATTGTCCAAAATGTCGTGGACACTGGAAGTAAGGGGCCTAGCCCCATAGGCAGGCAATATTCTCCTGGCATCCGCCAAACCCAGACTTGCCCATCAGTCTGAGAAACATGATTAGTTACTCCACAGGACATGTTTCCACTGCTCCAGAGCTTCACTTGTCGGCATGGTTTACACCACTCGAACCGAAGCTTGCCTTTGTACTTGGCGATGTGAGGCTTGTTTGCAGCTGCTCAGCCATGGAATCCCATTCCGTAAAGCTCCCAGTGCCCAGTTTTTGTGCTGATAATAATGCCAGTGGAAGTTTGGAACTCATTAGCTATGGAATCAGCAGAGCATCGGCGACTTTTATGCACCATGCGCCTTAGCATTCATAGACCACGCTCTGTGACTTTACGTGCTTTGCAGCTTCATAGTTGAGCTTCTGCTGTTCCTAAACACTTCCACTTTCCAATAATACCACTTACAGTTGACCGTGGAATATCTAACAGAGATGAAATTTCACAAACTGACTTATTGCAAAGGTGTCATCCTACAACTTGATTTCTCCGAGCTCTTTAAAACTACCTCCCTCCCCCCCAAATGTTTGTAAATGCAGTGTGCCTCGCAAGGTACTTGATTTTGTACACCTGTGGCAATGGGTCTGATTGAAACACCTGAATTCAATGATTAAGAGACGTGGATCGTATGTTTTAAGGAACAATACGCCAAAATGCAGGACTGCCCCGGCTAAATCGGGACAGTTTGCACAAATGGCTGAGCTCAATCCCAGATATGCAGATTTAAAATAAATAAATAAATAAATAGCTAAATTAAAAAAAAAAAAACACATATGCAGCAAGCTATAGTATTTTGGGGTTAGCGGGTGGTTTTTATGTGCACAGAACAGTTGTCAGTGTGTAATGTTTGGGTTTTCTCCTGTAATAATTTCAGAATTGGTAAAAGACAAATATAATTTAGAGCAAGCAATGTACCGAATGGAGTAACACATCGTTTGACAAATTTGCAGTTCATTATTTGTCATTTTGATATGAGGACTGGGCTGTTAGATATAACATTAAGGGATATTATCGATTAATTTTGTAGCAGCAAACAATAACAGTTACTACCTAACACAGAAAAAAAGCAGGTTTAGCCATTACGCGCCTTTGCGTTTAGCAATCAAATTGTCAGGCAGCGGAATTAAAATAATTTTATAACTTTTCCTGCCAGCCTATCTGTAATACGGAGTTATCCAATGTCCTTTAATACTATGAAAGATTACTCCAGACAGTTATGTATATATTAATGTACATAAAGATTAAACACACTGCTGAACATCGAGAGGAGTTGGAATTAATGCGTGGTGCCTGCATTCAGCAATTGTTTGTCATTTTAACTGTACAGCCAGGAGCAGCAGATAATCGCAATGCACTGTGACTCAGATCTGCTGCCCTTCATTCCTGCTTTTCTGCATTTTTTTTTTATCCTTCTTTCGTTAGTGATGGGAGTAACACCCAAACGGCCCTAAGAATTGTGTAAATAATGAATTTACTCTGCATTCCAAAACAGGCAGGAAATCAATGGCACAGGCAAACAAAGGGTTAAAATTATTCTGCAGAGATCTTAATCCTTTGCAAAGCATCGTCAGCTTTTTCACACCTTAGCCATACCGTAACATGTAAGGAGAATTAAATAGCAGGATGTAAAGTGTTAAAGTGAACTTTTCCACAAATCATGTGAATGGAACGACCATCTTAACACGGGTGTAGGGCTAATTTATGCACAGTGCTGGCAAAGCTGATGTTAAAAATATATTTACATCAAGATTTCTGCTTCCTCCTCCTCTCTGTATTGGCGCTTGCTAGAATTTTCATGATGGCTACCACTAGGCCTCCATATTTGTTACCTTTACTGCTATGTTAACAATACAGCGATAAAAAAAAACTAATGAGAAGAGAGAAAATAAAAATACTCTCCCACTTATAGATATATAATGATTTTGATACATTTGTCAGAGTTTGTGCCAGGAAAATCTATTAGGTAAAGTGTAATTCTCTGTAATACCGAACTCATAACTGCCCTGCTTTTGGCAGGACGGTGCCTATTTTGGGCTTCAGTCCCACCATCTGGGTTTTGTTTCCTGGTGTCCCACATCCGAGGAAGCCAGGGGACTGTCCCCATCCAGCATTAGCTGTAGATGCATTGTCCTGGAGGTACTAGGACCACACAGAGGGTTTCAGCAGCTTTCTCCGTATTGTCTTCTGTATAGTCTACTGCTGACACCAGACTGACATACCTCTTCAGTGGGCAAACCCACCCCATTTTTGGGCATGCTTGCCTAATTTAGGCATTGTCAGCAAACCCAGATATTTAGAGCAGTGGTTCTCAAACTATTCATCATGGCCCAGCGAAGGTCCAAGATTTATGGATTTCTCTTTCTACATTTAAATGCAAATACTGAAAAAACACAAACTGTTGCTGGGTCATGAGGTCTAAATTTTTACCAATTTTAGTCCAATAATCTTAGGTCAGATTGCATAGGGAATCTAAGAGTAGACTGTGGTAAATTGAAAAATCTAGACAAATACAGCTACATACAAATACAGAGTTTCTGAAAGTCCCATGTACTCCAGAATATGTTAGCCCTTTCTTAATAAACCGGTCAGTCTGTACTTGGTCAAAATTAAGTTGGAGATCAGTTCTCAAAGATGTTCGCTGCCTTATTGCACAAACTCAGGATGTTATTAACAGTGGAGTCAGTTGCAGAATTAGCATTATGTAATAGACTGGGAACATTATCAATGTACTATAAAGGATGCTTGAACTTTAAAATTAAACCAATATAAATAACTCTTGTTTTCTGGGACTGGTTTAAATGTCTGCATGTCACTGACTGCAAAACCTGTTCTTGGCACGAGGCCTTCTCGGAACAATCTGCAATCTTTATAGCTTTTCCTCTCCTCCATGAGCCTCTACTGCTATTTTCTTTGCTTAAGCTTGTATCGTGCACATCGCTCTGCCATCCCTGGGCCTTTGCTGCTCATACCCAGCGTGTGTCTAGAAGAACATTATAATTATGGAATTATCAAGGTCTTCTGTTTCCGTTTGAATCACGATCTAAAGTCATGACCACTATGTTTACCACTATAAAAAGGTGCACGCTGCCCTTGACAAAACATTGATTATGTCTAAAAAAAATAAAATTACAATGAAAATTCATAAAAGAAAAAACAAAAACCTTCCATGTCCAAATTTCTTTAAACAGTTGAAACAACACAAACATTTTAGAATTTTATTACTTGCTTATCCAGGGCTGACAAGGTTACAGGCAAGAATTAGGTTTGCCTGATAAAAAATATTGTACTTAAATCGGACATAAATAATAGAATATTGCTGTGGTAGGATTTTACAACTAAAAGGTTATATGGATTATATTCCAAATGGTTTATAAAGAAAACAATTTGGCGAATGGGAGTTGGAGAAAAATGTGTCCATGCCCTTTTAATTGGTCATTTGTATTATTTATTAATTGCAAGAAATATACTTTTTTTTTTTAAATCAGGAAATATAAAACACTAACTATGTTACATTGTGAGACCTGCCTTTCTGCATCCTTACCCTGGAGTATGGAAAATGTATAAATGTGTTCAAAAATAAGTTTTTGTTTTTGTTTTTTTTTGCAGGGGTGGGGGGTTGGGAATGACAGGATCATTACAAAGTCCATTGTGTTGAGTGACAACTAGTTCAATGACAGATACAATGTAACAAGATATGATCCAAAGTGCTTTGTTATGATATGCACTTTGTTCTAGAGAGTAAGCAGTATGTCAAGATTCCATTCTAGAGATGAGAAAAAAAAAGGTTTACGGGGACTGGTTTGTTTTGATAACCAAAACCACTGTCTTCGGACTTGGAATTTTAATTTGATCGGTTTATTAAGTGATGCTGGGACTGTCCTCCAGTTTGAGGTTGGAGAGTTGAAAGTTTTACGAATCTGCAGCTGAAACCACAGTCAAGTTTCGCTAATCTGTCCCTTATCGTGTGCTGGGTCTGGTGAGGTTTGAGGTTCTAGTGGTAGACGTGTTACCATCATTCCTGACCTCGATTCCCAGAGCAAATTCTGGGCATTCACAGCTTCTGCCATGAATCTCAGCACAGCCCTTGACACGTGTTAGAAAGTGAAAAAGTGTAATCACAACAGTTAGCAATGATAGGCACCCTCTCCTGTTTCAACTGCAATGGACTACCCTACAACTTAAATTCTCATCCAATGTAGTAAACTACTATTAAAAAGCCAATCTGCTACATGTGTTTCCATTATACGGTTATATTTCAGAGGCAGAAATGTGTGATGTTTCTAGGCAACTGAACATTAGGTCACGTTCTATTGTTAGACAGTTAACTACCTTTTCTGATCTTTAACATGTTTTTTTCATCTCCAGTGACAAACATTAAATTCATTCATTAAGCCTTCACTAAACGCCATTTATATGTGTTTGCGAGAGATTTCCTCCTAGTTTATTGATGTGTAAGACAGTTGCTCACCATGGATTTTGGTAGAGTTACCATATCCATCTTGCTTTCAGGGACACAGATCATGTACATGTATCGATGGGCAGAAAAATGAAAAGGGCTGCCCTGTGTTATGTAGAATTCAAAGATGACCATGTTCAAAAAATGCCAAAGGTTTCATGCATTCCCACCAGGCTGTCCTGCCAGTTATATGTGTGTCCCTCCCCCTTTTGGGTTGAGCAAGTGATGTGATTGTGCACTGGTCCACCCTCTTGATTCCCCTCCCACTGGCATCCTGCTTTTCGGGACACCAAGGTTGGAGGTATGCTTTCCTGCTCTATACACTTTTTCTCTTACTCTTGCGAAGGAGAAGTGATTACAAAATATTTATGGAAACAAAAATTGCAAAACAGATTGATGATATTTACATATTTTAGACTGAATTCAATCTAGACAATGCTTCAAAGTACATCTTTGTTGTTTTATTAAATGGCAATTCCATGCCAGCAATTTAAAGCGAATTTCAAATTTTAGACCAAAATATCTGAACTGGAAATGAAACAGACATGTAATAAGTTTTTGAAATTCACAATTTTACATATGAGTGTGTATTCACCAAAGAGTGATTTGCGATAAGCGGACAACCAAACTGAAATTATATTGATAAAATAAGTTCATTTGAGGGGAAAAAAACAACAACCTTGTAGTTCAGGCACATGGGATATTTTTTTTTTTTTTTCAGAATCAGAGCTTTTTATCTAGTCATAAACGATTGATCGCCCAATATACCCATATAAACAAGCATCTTAAAAATTAATGAAAGAACATTCAAAATACCATAACCACCACAGCTCGCTGGTAAGATTCTCCTAAAGGAGAAGACTGGATGCAGAGTATGTGGCCACATTCCCCTGGCCACACCCAGATAAGTTGTCAGACTGTTCCATAAATGACTACTTACCATGGGATGGCACCAGGGCACCATAACCACTACGTTGGTCAGTAGTGTTTATGGTGCTTGAAGTGCCTTTATAACACGTTTTAAAACAACATATTTCTAACTGTTTCATCTGTATTTTATATTTGAGGCAACTAAAAATCTACCAGCAAATATATGTAAAGGATATAGCTATATCTAAAACTAATAATAGGATCCTATCTTTAAATCAAGAATATAAAGGCTTTTTTAGAGAATTGTCAGAATTCTTTGGTCCTGTTTCATCTCCAGTCTTCGACAGTTAGCGGAGATTGGATACTCACAGCTAGATTTTATTTTGCACAAGCAGCAATTGTGTGCATGTCGAATACTGTCTGGAAAAGCTAGATTTATAGCCAGTGTTTAGCCAGAGGCCAGTGTTCCACTCTTTTAGGGGATTTGAAGCTTTATTTTGTATAAATAAAATTATTCTTATTTTCTTTCATCCAAATACTGTATTTGAATTTAAAAAAAAAAAATAGTATGTAATCCGTGAACCCCTTTAGAGCTGGCTAAGTGTGCTTTTCATTCTTTGACATGGAGTTTTAACGTGGTACGTTCAGGCATTTAGAGGTTAATACACTGTTCAGTATATTCTATAAATAAATTAAAAAAAAACAATCAGCTTCAGTTAATCCCATCTAGAATTCACTTTCCTTTGTTCACCCCTCCTGCCCACAAAAAAATAAAAAAAATACACTTTCAGATTTAATGCAATTTGTCAAACAGCCAGTACGTTACTGCCACTATACCAAAAACAGGATTTATTTTATTCTGTTCCTAACTTGTACAGCTCAGAACATACTTAAGGATATATTTGTTTTAAAATAAAAATTTTTAAAAGTAGTGGATACAGAATGCCACCTCCAGGCAGAAGTAGAAAAGGAAAGCCAGCTACAAAATGTGTTCTAGTTATTTTTGAATTAAAGAGAATTGTAATTTAGTTTTTGACACTTGGTAAACCTTTGCTGTCACCTGCAATTTGTTATTGCTGTTCCGTGCGGACTATACATGAATGCCTGATTTCAATTTACATGCAGGATAAATCTCTCCTCTCCCCCCACTTGGTGTAAGCAGGGCATTCAGAAAATAATAGGTTGCATGCCCCCTCCAGCTGGGTTAGAGTTAACCCCACGTGACAGGCAACGAGAACATCTGTTGTGGATTGTGGCAGACCCATTGAGATTCACTTCACACTGCCAGGCTAAAAAACATCACATCCAAGGCAGCACGACAGAGACAAAACCTCAGTGCATTAAGAAGGATAAACTGTGACAGTCAGAATGGAGTTAGAGCCATAATCCAGTTAGGAGATCTTTTTATGCCCCCTCACGTCATCTGCAATAATTGGAGCCAAGCTGTTCTTGATTCCTGAGTGTCATGTGACCACGCAGGGCTAGCTAATTCCTCCATTTCTAAGAAGCAAAGGACGCTTTTTCTCATTTTACCAGTTAGATAAATCTAAAACCACAATTTATTCGGAGATATTTATGAAGCATGCTTCGGTCTTGATGCTAAATAAATGTGTCTTTGACAGGGGGAACAAATTGCATGATGGGTATGGAGAAAGCAGGAAATAAAAAATAATGTCAATAGAACGTTTGTGTTGCTCAGTCAGACATTTGGAACCGCCGTAATATCTCATTTACATCTAAAACCATATTTTCTGTATTGTGTGTGTGAATGGAGTGCAATTATTGTCTATACAGCATGTTGAGGAGATAGATAAAAGAATTGGATGCCTATCCACTGAGCTAAGAGCCACATTACTTATTCCAGACAAGGTTAACCCAGCCTTTCATCCTTCCAAGGTCAATAAGATAGATGCCATTAAGTTGGATAGTAATAACATATATAACCAAAGGTCTTAAGTGCCCACAGCAGCTTTGGGAGCAAGACAAGGTTTCCATTAGGCAGAATAGGTGCCTGCCTGAAGGCAGCTGACCACTAGGGGGCACCTGCATTCAGCACTTATAACGTGCCTTTTTTAGCTTAAGGGACCACTATAGTGCCAGGAAAACATACTCGTTTTCCTGGCACTATAGTGCCCTGAGGGTGCCCCCACCCTCAGGGACCCCCTCCCGCCCGGCTCTGGAAGGGGGAAAGGGGTTAAAAACTTACCTTTTTCCAGCGCTGGGCGGAGAGCTCTCCTCTCCTCTCCTCCTCCGTTCGCCCGTCGGCTGAATGCGCACGCGCGGCAAGAGCTGCGCGCGCATTCAGCCGGTCGCATAGGAAAGCATTTACAATGCTTTCCTATGGACGCTGGCGTGCTCTCACTGTGAAAATCAATGAGACAGCCACTAGAGGCTTTGGGGAAAGGCTTAACCCATTAATAAATATAGCAGTTTCTCTGTTTATTAAAAAATGGGTTAACCCTAGAAGGACCTGGCACCCAGACCACTTCATTAAGCTGAAGTGGTCTGGGTGCCTAGAGTGGTCCTTTAAATAGGCTGATGGAAGCCTTGGCCACCATCCTCTGTAGCTCAGTCAGCCTTAATAGCGGAGCTGCATGAACAGGTATAGTGGGTGTAAAACGCAGTGCTGTCCCAGCTCATCCAGTGTCTGTGTGTGAGGCTGGACTTCCCATCTGACCACTAAGAGCCTCTCACACAGGAAGTGCCATGCATTAAGGAGCAGGGGAAGTTCTGAGTGATGCACAATGCTATAGCCACTCCTGCACTTCTAATATCATTAATGCGACTGGTCTACACTAGTCATAGGAGGCTCAGAGCTTTGCCAACTCAGCACTCAGAGCCTCAACCTAAAAATAAACTCTTTACCTTAATCCTATGTTTAACTACTCTTAAAATCTAAATACCATATGCACCCAATACTAAGTTCAACCCAACTCTAGTCCTAAACAGTCTTTATGCTACAACTTCAGCCCTTCTCAAGCTGTCTATCTTTTTAACACTGAACACCATATGCAATATTATTGACATTAACCCTTGTCTAACCTTAACACGCTTTACCCTAACCAATTCTAACATTATCTTTCATCCTGCATGCATTTGCAATGCTGCATAATCTTACTGTACTCACAGATTTAACCACAATGCATTACAAGCAGAGCAGAAATATGCACATACATTTATACATATGCAGTTGTCAAATATGAATATATATATTTTAGGCCTGCAATTTCTAGGTCATAAATTCATTATACTTTAACTGCTTTTTTTTTTGGGTGGGGGCCGAATTTTGTGCCTACAGGCGCCTAACATTTAAATCAGGTCCTGTCTGGGAGTACATATTAAGCAATAACAGGCAATGAGTTAAGTGAATGTTTGGATTAGGCTAAATGTAAGTTTTATTGCTTTTTGGTGTATTGATCGTTGCCGCATTTGTAGATAACCTTTGGCAACCTTTGTGACGGGTGACAGATATATTTCTGGTGTCCACTGGAGAAACTTCACATTATTGTGCTTCTCGGTGGAGGTGCAACATAATTTGTGATTTATGAGTGTATTTTTTGGACAGGCCAGCAGAGGGTGCTGAGCTTTTGTACATAGTTACAGAATGAAGTACGTTTTGATACAGGTTTAGTTAGATGCATTTTATATGTGTATATATGTTTTACATTTTTTTGAGCCAGATGTTTCTGGAGAAGAATAGAGGATATGTGGCAAATGTGTGGAAATTGTTGGAATCCACCAATAGATACACACAATGACCTGACACACAATAGCTTTAATGACTGAATTGATGTTAGACCAAAGATCCCAGTGGAAACTATACAAAGTTTTTCCGAAACTATACAGTTTTCATTTCCAAGGCTGCAGGGGCAATATATACGACCCAAAATCCTTTTAATAACAGAAAGTGATTTCGGTACAGATGCTCCCCATTTAAATGGATTAAAGCTGATTAAAGCAATTTGGTGCACACGCATTGGCATTAAAATTGTTAATTATGGTAGTGTAGTAGTGCATTTCTTTTTACCAGTAAATGTATGTTAGAAAAGAAATGTAATTTGTGACATAAAGCTATTTTTTGTCCAAAGCTTCCTCCCACGCCAAATAAATAAATAAATCAGCCTAAAATCAGGTTGAGCTGACGGAAATTTGTTGAAAGCGTCTTGTCATTGTGCGAGTATCTATTTGCCAGTAAGTTATTTTTTTACGGATGGATACCTTAAAAGACTGTTTTACAGTTGACACTCGAAATATAGGTTATTCCTGTTCCCTCTTGGCATTCTCAGCATTCTTAAAGAAAAAAAAAAAATACGGCAGATGAATTATTTATTTTGCGCAGGCAAAAGACTGCGAGCAGCCTTCTGTCATCGGCAGGGACCTGGAGCCACAAGGACTAGTGTACAAGAAGCAGCTCTCTAATCTGTGCAGCCTTCCAGATCATTTGCAGGACATCACTTAAATGGAGGCTGTTTGTTTGATTTGGTATGAATGCACCCTATTCTCTCCCCTACTAAAACAAATTCTACATAAGACCTCATGTACTTAAAATCCCTCTAGTCTCTCCCGGAAGCAATCATACCATGTTTGGACCCCCGTGTTCAACATCTCTTTATTTCCAGCCCTGTCTTTGTAGCCTTTTAAAAAGTAACCTTCAAAACAGCAGGCATTTTATCCTTCTCTGGCAAGTCACTAATGTGTTAAATTAGAGAGGGCACCGTCTGTGAAACCACCATTTATAATTTAAGCGGATATATATATAATTTCTAAGCAGCAAATAGTTTTGAGAAAAAAAAAAAAAATTAACGCCAGTTTTACTTAAAAAAAAGAGTTTGAGATTTTATACTTTCATTTTATAGCATGGGATACAATTAATTAAAGGACCACTATAGGCACCCAGACCACTTCAGCTCAATGAAGTGGTCTGGGAGCCAGGTCCATCTAGGGTTAGCTCTGCAGCTGTAAACATAGCAATTTCAGAGAAACTGCTATGTTTACTATAGGGTTAATCCAGCCTCTAGTGGCTGTCTCATTGACAGCTGCTAGAGGTGCTTCCGCGCTTCTCACTGCGATTTTCACAGTGAGAAGATGCCAGTGTCCATAGGAAAGCATTGAGAAATGCTTTCCTATGGATTGATTGAATGTGCGCGGCTCTTGGCGCGCATCCGCATTCGGTGGATGATGTCGAAAGAGGGAGGAGAGTCCCCAGCGCTGAGGGAGCCCCTTCCTCCCCCTAGAGCCCGGCAGGAGTGGGACCCAGATGGTGGGGGGGACCCAAAGACCCTATAGAGCCAGGAAAACGAGTTTGTTTTCCTGGCACTATAGTGGTCCTTTAACCCCTTCATTACTAACTATGTTAATGGCCAATTAGCAGTGTTCGTCCTAGAACAGGGGTGCCCAAAAGGTAGATCCCTAGATGTTAGAGAACTACAACTCCCATAATGCGTTGCATGTCTTAAGAAAGCTTCAATGGAAAAAGCATCATGGAAGCTGTCATTTTAAAACATCTGGGGATCTACCTTTTTGGCACCCCTGTCCTAGGATAGTCTGTGAAACAGTCCAATACTAACTCAACCAAAAGAATACGTGACATAGTGTCTCAAACAACTACTACATACTACCACTACTCAAAAGTGGTTAATCATAATCAGTCATTCTATAGAAGGGTCATAGAAAGGATATTACCAAATACTCCTGAAGTTCTAAGTAGGTCTTTCTAGATGCCCCGTGTGGTCATTAATGGAATTGCAAGCATAGTTTACTTCTGATGGTTTGATTAAAATAAATATTATATTGCTGCTATTTGTAAAAGGGTATTCTACATGTTGTGTTGTATAGTCAAGTGGGTAATGGACAGGTACATGAATTAAGTCTATACACATGCCCATTTCAGATTTGCATATTTATTTTTGCATGGTGTGTTGAAGAAAATGTATTTTGGGAATCCTAATATGTTCTGCAGTGAAAGAAAAATAAAATAAATTGGTAAAAAAATAAATTAAAAAAAAATCCTCTATTTTTATGAAATTTAAACACACTGGAGTTTTAAAAAATAAAATAAATTGGTTAAAAAGTAAATTAAAAAAATACCCTCTATTTGTCAGAAATTTAAACACACATGAGTTTTATGGTTCCCCCAAAAGAATAACATTAAAAGCAGTGTTTACAGTGAAGATTGCACAATTGGTGCAGCAAGTTAACTGAACTCCTTCACCAAATAAATGAACTAGAGAATTAATGTTTTTCGGTGATGTGAACAGAACATCGTGAACCACTTCATGGTGTGTGACCTGTACTAATACGTGTATATGTGCCATATAACTCCTATGTAACATGTATGGGCCGTATCATTTTCTATAGCCATTTACTGCAACTGTATGAACATCATTCATGTAAAAACACGAATAAAGACTCTACAAGTATATATAGATATTTATTGTATAAACTGGCCCCCAGCAGCACCCCATTTATGCATGTTCATATATAGTTGGGTCTTCTTTAAAAAAAGTTTAGTGTTCAATTCACTACATACAGCTCCTTCTCAGAATATTGTAGGGTTATTTACCAAGATGCCAATTGTCAGGAAGTCAAGTGAATTTCAAATTGAAGGTCAAAATTGCTCAACAGGATAAAGGAAAAAAAAAATAATTCTAATTTAACACGTTTCCCATTTTGCTACGTTATTCTATGAAAAATTTAATTTCACTTTGATTTCACCTTGAATTCATGACAATTCTCACTTCAGTAAATAACCCTGATTGTTGTTTTAAGTGTCTAACTGTATTGGATAGTCCAGTTCCTTATTTGGTTGTTTTTGTCTGTATTGAACCTAAACCTTCATGTCTATTAATGATCATTTCTATCTTTCTGCAGGCCGCTTACTGGAAAAATGGAACGGATGAAGGTACATATGAAGATCATATGAATTTAGAGAAGAAGTGAAGACTCTTAAGTGAGGGAAGACACAATTAACAAGGCGATTCTCCCCTGGCTACGCAAGACCTACATAGCACGTTGAGAATATCTGGATTTGAATTTTACCCCTCCCACAAACTTTCAAATTTTCAGTTTGTTTCAGAGAAAAATACGATATCTATTGTTTTTTTGACAAATTATATGGATTGTAGCCAAAACAAAAAAAAAGAGTGTGCAATACTATCCTATAAGACTGTCACATCTCCATTTAATTTCAGAGGCCTAATTTACCTTTATTTGTGAAAAGCTTGCTAAATGCTAGATGGCTGGACAAAAGCACATTAAATGCTGAGGTTTGCATTCCCAGATTCCTTTCGCTCCTCTCATTTTAACAAGGGCCTTTCATTTTTTATAAACCAGAAATGGGCCTTTGGACACTATTGTGGCCCAAGGACTGGGTGTCATTTTTAAAAACTTGGGTGATCTTTTTGATTGGATTTTCCATGCAAATATCCCAGTCACTTTCATGTCCCAGCGTGTGTCGCTGTGATCGGAACTTTGTCTACTGCAATGAACGGAGTTTGACCTCAGTGCCTCTTGGAATACCGGAGGGTGTTACTGTACTTTACCTCCACAACAACCAAATTAATAATGCTGGGTTCCCTGCAGAACTGCACAATGTCCAGTCAGTGCACACAGTTTACCTGTATGGCAACCAATTGGATGAGTTTCCCATGAACCTTCCAAAAAATATCAAAGTTCTTCACCTCCAAGAAAACAATATTCAGACTATATCAAGGGTAGCGTTAGCACAGCTATTGAAGTTGGAGGAACTTCACTTAGATGACAACTCTATTTCAACAGTTGGGGTGGAGGACGGTGCATTTCGTGAAGCCATTAGCCTGAAATTACTGTTCCTGTCCAAAAACCACTTGAGCAGCGTACCAGTAGGGCTTCCTTTATGTCTGCAAGAATTGAGGTTGGATGAAAACCGCATCGCCACCATTTCAGACCAAGCCTTCCAAAATCTTACTAATTTAGAACGCTTAATTTTAGATGGCAATCTTCTCACCAACAAAGGGATTGCTGAGGGTACATTTAGCCATCTACCCAAACTCAAGGAGTTCTCAATGGTACGGAATTCTCTCACCAGTCCTCCTACTGATCTCCAGGGCACATTTTTGGTAAAGCTAAATCTTCAGGACAACCAAATCAACCACATACCAGTGTCAGCCTTTGCCAATCTGCACAAGCTCGAGAGATTGGATATTTCAAACAACCGTCTTCAAATGTTGACAAAAGGAGTTTTTGATAATCTATCCAACCTAAAGCAATTAACTGCACGAAATAATCCTTGGTTTTGTGATTGCAGCATCAGATGGGTTACAGAGTGGCTCAAATCGTTACCTGCAGCAATCAATGTACGGGCCTTTATGTGCCTGGCACCAGAGCACTTCCGAGGAATGGCTGTGAGGGAACTCAATGTGAATCTCTTATCTTGTCCAACAACTACGTCAGTCTTGCCTCCCATTACCCAGGCTCCTACTACGGAAGCCCCTACCACATTTCTCCCTACTCTGTTTGTCCCAACACCAACAGAAGTAACAACAATTCCAACACCCACTCCATCCCTACCTGTTACTGTGCCTGACATAGTGGTCATCATAGATAAAGTTACCCCGCCAATGAGAGAGAAATTTCAACTTTTCGTTCATTTTGTAAATGACACCTGTATTCAAGTGAGCTGGTTATCTGTTATTTCAGTCATGTCCTACAAGCTTACGTGGGTTAAAATGGGACACAGCTTGGTTGAGGGTATTGTCCATGAACGGATAGTTAGTGGGGAGAAACAGCATTTTACTCTTTTAAATTTAGAGCCCAAGTCCACATATAGGATATGCTTGGTTCAACTGGACGATTTTAATAACTATCGAGCAGGTGAAGAGACTGTGTGTTCAGAGGCTACCACAAAGGCCTCTTCCTTAAATAATGGTAGTAACAGTCCTTCCAGTCATGAGCAACAACAACACAGGGCATGGGCTCCCCATTTCTGCTGGCAGGGTTAATTGGGGGTGCTGTCATTATTGTACTTGTTGTCCTCCTCAGCATCTTCTGCTGGCACATGCACAAGAAGGGTCGCTACTCATCTCAGAAATGGAAATATAACCGAGGGCGTAGGAAAGATGACTACTGTGAAGCAGGTACCAAGAAGGACAACTCCATTCTGGAGATGACGGAAACTAGCTTCCAGATAGTCTCCTTAAACAATGACCAGCTCCTTAAAGGAGGTTTCAGACTGCAGCCGATTTACGCCCCAAATGGGGGCATCGGCTATACAGATTGTCACATCCCCAACAACCTGAGGTACTGCAACAACAGCAGCGTTCCAGACTTGGAACACTGCCACACGTGATAATGTCCAACCTTCGGGGAGATGTGCCATTCGGCCGAATAAGGACAGACTTTGCAAAAACGAAACAAAGACACAAAAATACATTTGATAAATGTTAGGCAGATGCATTTGTGCATCAGAATTCTCTGTAATTTATACTGTGTACTATATAATGGAATTTAAGAAAAAAGAAAACAAGCAAAAAAAAAAAAATGCGCTATCTTTTCTATTTCCAGTTCATTGCAAACAGTTTTGTAACTCTTTGCTTTTTAAATCTTTAAAAAAAAATGCTAAAGTACTGTACAGGGTTGATCAATAATAACCCTTTTTTGCCATGATAAGAAGGAATCCCTTGTGTTTTCTTTTTTGTTGCCTGCATATGATAATGTGCTAATTACCCTCACCAGTAGATACTGATGTTCACACATAATTCTATTGTGTAAATAACAATTTGGTATAAAAACAATAGGATGTTAACAAAAAGATTTATTATAAGCTTCTCCAAATTTTCTGGTTTTCCCTTTGGCCTGTGCAGGTTAAATCTGTACAGCCATTAAAGGAGCACAAATGATAGTCAAGAACACAGCAAGTGGCTAGCAGATGATCACGATAGTCAGAGTCCATTAACAGGAGGAACAAGTATCGACTGTGCCACCTTTAATTACACTTATCATAAAAAGTTTTGTGATCAAAACAGACGCCAATGGTCATTAACGGGTGCCTGTTTGAAACAGAATTTTCAGACAGAGTTACAACAATTACTATCATCTAAATATAATAGACCGACTGCGTACCGTTGCTGGCCGATATTTAGTCATACGGTTTATTTATTATTATTTTTTTAGATTGCTTGTTGACTTAAAAAGGTAGATTATCCCAAAAATATAGATTATTTTCTTTTAGGCAGCTGTCCACCAAAAGGACGATATTGCATCTACTGTACATGCTATGTCTCCTGTGGAAATGTGCCAAATTGGTGTACGTGTTATATCGGGCCACCAGTCTGTAAAAATATCATTTTTTTTTACTGTACTTATCTAGCCAATTTGGTAGATGCTTAACTGAATCTGGTACCATTATCTATTGTGAAGACTGAAGAAATTGGAAGTACAGCTGGAATTTTACTGAATGCCCCTACAGCCCCATTCCACTGTTTTCATGTTGCAGTTTGGGCAAAATCTATATCGGTGAACATTAACGAATAGTCATACAGTATTAGAATTCAGTTTGCACTTATTTACACAACTTCCCATTCTATTGTATACAAACCAAGGTGACTCCATATATTTTTGCTAAACGTTATTTTTGACTTTATGTAAATTAAATAAAAGTATGTTTTTCCACATTATTATTATTTTTTTTATATATATATAATTTTCCAAAATCAGTAGGTCTAATATGTTCAGTCCCCGGTGTTCTAATAATTGTTTACAGACTCATTAATAAAATATCTTTGAGGTTTCTGGCACTCCAGCACTTAAACCACTCTTGTAAATGTCAAGCGAAATGCGTTAGATATTCCCCAATTTCAATAATGCAAGGCTAAAGAAGTTTACAGTAGAGATTTTCATTCTTCAAATTGAATGTCCTTAAATATTTCAAATGGAGAAAAAAAATTGCATTTAGTTTGGTATGTGTTTAAGTTTAATGAAGTGGTCTGGGTGCCAGGTCCAGCTAGGATTAACCCTTATTTTCTGTAAACATAGCAGTTTCAGAGAAACTGCTATGTTTGCACAGAGGGTTAATCCAGCCTCTAGAGCAGGGGTTCTCAACGTTAGTCCTCAGGACCCCCTACCAGTCCAGGGTTTAGGGATTACCTGGGTGTGTCTAAGGTGTTTAGAAAAAGAAAAAAAAAAAACACCTTAGAGTCTAAGGTGTTTTTTCCCCTTTTTCTAAACACCTGAGACACACCCAGGTAATCCCCAAATCCTGGACTGGTAGGGGGTCCTGAGGACTGGGTTGAGAACCCCTGCTCTAGAGCATCTAGTGGCAGTCTCATTGACAGCCGCTAGAGGCACTTGCGTGCTTCTCACTGTGAAAATCACAGTGAGAATACGTCAGCGTCCATAGGAAAGCATTGTAAATCATTTCCCACGAACTGGCTGAATGCGCGTGCGGCTCCTGCCGCGCATGCGCATTCAGCCAATGACGTCGCTAGGAAGGAGGAGGAAAGCTCCCCGCCCGGTGCTGGAGAAAGGTAAGATTTTAACTCCTTCCTCTCCCCAGAGCCCGGCGGGAGGGGACCCTGAGGGTGGGGGCACCCGCAGGGCACTATAGTGCCAGGAAAACAAGTGGTATAGTGGTCCTTTAAGCTTGAACATGAACGAGTCCTGTATTTGACCATTTTAGGCACTTCTCGTGGCTCCGATTGCTGTAAATCAGACGTGAATTTAGGAATCTGATTTGGAATTTACAGACTGGTCAGTTCCAAAATTAATCAACTAAATAAATAAATAGGGATAATTAGATAAACATATCATAGCTCAAAAATAATTGACTACTGTGAATGATTAAGATATGAAATTTTTCTGTGCAGCACAGGTAGCATGTACCTAAATAATGAATACAATAAATCAAACCACATTGTTATTAATAGAACACTGTCCATCAATGATGTGAGGTATCATACCTCCATATCATTTTTGGTTAATAAAGGATATAAAGACCTCCTTACAGTTCTATTTATTTTGCTGGAAGCATTTTCCCAGCTGTCGGCTTGAATAGCCAATGACCAAACACTACAGATTTCAGTTGCTTGTATTGCAAAAAACAAGGTGAATTTATTTTGCAAAAATTGCTTCGTGTGGAACAGATTTAATTTGATCATGCTCCAGGTGTTTGGTAAAAACAAATACAAATTAACACAGAAAAACAAGTATAGGTATGAGTCCCATACAAAGTTTAGATTTTTAATATTTATCAGACTGGATTGTTCCACATCAACCTTTGGTAAATGTCAGGTTTGCAAATCCTACTTTTGCTAATCTGGAGTACATTTCAGCTTTAGTGAATCACATTGGTTTCTTTTCTGATGATCAGAATTGCCATACTACTCTTGTATCAAAAAGTATATCAGAAAATGTTCTAGATCACTTTTCTTTTCCCTTTTGCCGAATTACATTTTAGACGTGTTAAGAGGGAAGAACGCCTGAAAGCTCATCACTACAACTTTGTTAGTCCAAGAAAAAAAAAAATATATATATTTCAAGAGACTTATACGGCAACTCTTATATAATGAAAGATAATGTCATTTCACCCAGCATATCTCCAATCCCATATAGCATTCCTTTTTTTATTAAAGAAATTAATAAAGGTTACGTTTTCTTACCATTCACATGCAGAAATTGACAAACCAATGTGTCATGCCAGCGATGATCAAAGAAACAGATAATGGAACTTTAGAGAAATATAAAATCCAGTACGAGATTTGGGCATTTTATATTTTACTGCAGTTATGTTAGCAGGCATATATTATCAAAATTCCAATAAAAATCATAGTGGTCTTTAAAACCATGCGGGCATTCTTGCATCATCCCTTATTTAAACTGGTAATATAGTCAGGACCGGTGCAAGATTTCTTCCGCCCTAGGCAAAGATCCATTTTGCCGCCCCCTCGTGAAAGCAAATACAATCTCACAGAGGTTTATTCACTAAACTCTGAATTGCAGTGAGTCGAAAACCAAATTGCAAAGTTTAAGCAAAAACAGCTGAACTGTGACTATAGCCAGATTGGAGAATTCTTCTAGATCAGCTATTTTGGCCTAAATTTTGCCATATTGTTTTCAAGTTATGACTAATACACACATACTGCTTAATGCGTACATCTATAAACACATACCACCTAATACCTACATCCATACACACATACTGCCTAATACCTACATTCATACAAACATACTGCCTAATACCTACATCCAGGGCCGTCTTTAATGCATGGCAAATGGCGCAGCTGCACCGGGCCCAGTTACTCAGGGGGGCTCGCCCGGTGGCCCATGCATTAACGGCCACCCGGTGGGCCTTTGTAAGCAGGAGTCTGGTCGCATGCTGTATCCCTTTAACAGCGCGACCGGCCCCATGCTTTCCGGCAGCGCTGGGAGGAAGTGACGGCCGCGCGTCACTTCCTCCCAGTGAAAACATAGAGCCGCGCGGGAGAGATCAAGGAGGCAGTGAGGAGGGGGGCTCGGTCGGCAAAGCCAGCCCCTAACTCACAACAGCCTCAGCCACCACTCTGGACACCATGGAAGGCACCTTTCAAGGTTGGAAACAGAAGGTAGGTTAAAAGTGTAATTTATGCATGTGTGATTGTATGTGAATGTGTGTGTTAGTATTTGTCAGTGTGTGTGTGTCAGTATGTCTGTCAGTGTGTGTGTGTGTGTTAGTATTTGTCAGTGTGTGTGTGTGTGTGTCAGTATGTCTGTCAGTGTATGTGTGTGTGTTAGTATTTGTCAGTGTGTGTCAGTATGTCTGTCAGTTTGTGTGTATGTCTGTCACTAACAGTGGCGGATCCGGGGGGGGGGGCAACTGGGCAATTGCCCCCCCCCCCGGGAAATCCAACGGTCTCCCTCTCCTCTGCCAGCACATGCAGGCGCCAGACCTGCAATGTGCCTGTGGACCGGAGGGGAGATCAGAGATTAGAGCTCTCCCTCCCCGGTCCGCAGGCACTGTGCTGAGAGCCGGCGGGGGGAGGGAGAAGGAGAAGAAAGGACCCGGGAGCTCTGCCTGCAGCTCCTCCGGGTCCTCCTCTCGCGAGATTTGGAGCATTGTCGCGGTTACCATGGCAACGCTCCAAATCTCGCGAGAGTGAACTCTAGCCCTGGAGCGCGGGCTAGAGTTCACTCCAACCACTGGGACCACCAGGGAATCCCACTGGGACCACCAGGGAACGAAATATGTCCCCCCTCCTCCCAGTAAAGGTAAGAAGGGAGGACATAGAATATTTATTTATTTTAATTAAATAAATAAAAATATATACCGTATTATAAAAAAAAGCCCTCCTACCCTTATCACACACACATATACACTGCCCCCCATACACACATACTGCCCCCCCCACACATACTGCCCCCATACACACACAGCCCCCCACACACACACACACACACACACACTGCCCCCATACACTGCTGCCCCATACACACACATTGCCCACACTCACACATACACTGCAATACTCACACACACACACACTGCAACTGGTACACACACATACACTGCATCCCTGACATACACTGCCGCCCTCACTCACACACTACAACCTTCACACACACTGCTCACACACTGTCCCCCTCACACATTGCACCACTCACACACACACCACTGCTCCTATGCCCTACTACAGCCCCATTTCCCAGCAGACCTCAGGTAAGTTGTCAAACTGTTCTTAAACAGTTTGACTACTTACTCTGGGAGGGGGTCCCTGCACTATTGACACCATAACCACTACACTGAGCTGGCCGACACAATTACTGGGAGGAGCGGCGGTGGAGGAAGAAGCAACGACGTGGGACATGTCGCTTCCTCTGGTAAGTCACTGAAGGGGTTTTCACCCCTTCAGCAACCGGGGATTGGGGGGGAGGGAGGGAGAAGGGACCTGCAGTGCCAGGAAAACGGATTGTTTTCCTGGCACTGGAGTTTCCCTTTAATGCGTACATCCATACACACACTGCCTAATACCTACATCCGTAAACACACACTGCTTAATGCGTACATCCATACACACACTGCCTAATAGCTACATCCATACACACACTGCCTAATAGCTACATCCATACACACACTGCCTAATAGCTACATCCATACACACACTGCCTAATAGCTACATCCACACACACACTGCCTAATAGCTACATCCATACACACACTGCCTAATACCTACATCCATACAAACACATACTGCATAATACCTACATCCATACACACACACACTGCCTAATACCTACATCCATACACACACACACTGCCTAAAACCTACATCCATACACACACACACACACTGCCTAATACCTACATCCATACACACATACTGCCTAATACCTACATCCAAACACTCATACTGCTTAACGTGAACATCCCATACACACATACTGCTTAATACCTACATCCATACACACATACTGCCTAATACATGCATCCATATACACATACTGCTTTATGCGTACATCCATACACACATGCTGATTAATGCGTACATCCATACACACATGCTGATTAATGCGTACATCCATACACACATGCTGATTAATGCGTACATCCATACACACATGCTGATTAATGCGTACATCCATACACACATGCTGATTAATGCGTACATCCATACCCACATGCTGATTAATGCGTACATCCATACCCACATGCTGATTAATGCGTACATCCATACACACATGCTGATTAATGCGTACATCCATACACACATACTGCTTAATGCGTACATCCATACACACACACTACTTAATACCTACATCCATACACACATACATCCATAAACACACACTGCCTAATACCTACATCCATACACACATACTGCTTAATACATACATTATACATCGAATATATGCATTATACATCGAATGCAGTTGGTGAATTTAATGGATAAGAAGAGCACACATACTGACAGACATAAAAACACACACTCACTGACTGTCAAAACACACACTCACTGAGACACAGATAATTTTATTTAATTGAGGCAAATTCAGCCTTCCTACCTCCCTGGGGTCCAGTGTGGGTCAGCTTCTCACTCCTCCAGTGCGCTGTTTAGTATGCCGGGAGCCAGAATTATGTCATATTCCAGCTCCCGGCATCACAGAGGGCGCGCAAGGGAGGAGTGAGATGCTGCAAGAACAGCCTCCCTCGCCGCCCACAATACAGCTGCCTGCCTCCTGTAACCCCTCTCTTCCGGCATTTCCAGGCAGAGTAGGCACCTGCAATCAAGGTAAGCAGGTGCCTGCTCTGCCATTCCTAAAAAGCACTGTGACAGGGCTCATCTATATGACCCCAATTTTGGGCGTCTGGAGGATCGGCCCTGCGCTGGGGGTGACTCAAGAGTCACTCGCCCAGCGCTGTGGCCCAAGACAGCGGCAGCCCGCCAGGAAATATCCCAGTGGGCGCCCCCAGCAGGCTGGTGCCCTAGGCGAATGCCTAGTACGCCTAACGGTGACGCCGGCCCTGAATATAATACAAGACCAGAAAGCAGCCATATTGCTTTTTTAATTTGCATCAAAAGACAGCCATGTGAAAACAATAAAACAGTAAAAAGTGATTTTTTTGTCCTATCATATTGTTGCAGTAAGTTTTGTAAAACTTGGGTTGCAATATACATTGTTTTTTTCCTGATTCACCTTTTAAATGTACACTAAAGTCACCTAGGCCACTTCAACTGAATGAAGTTTTTTTTAGAATTTGCAATGTTTACATACAAACAGCCACTAGAGGCCCTTCCTGCTGCAACTTCCAAGTAAAAAGGCAATTACATAGCTGCAGCCCGCAGATTTATTGCTTTCCTATAGGGAAATTTGATGTGTGGGCATGTGTCGCGCACGAGCATCAGGTCCCCAATGCTCCTATGTGAGTAGCATTAGATTGCACAGACCATGCCTTCTCTATGATGTCACCAAAGGCGGAGAGATAAGCAGCACCAGGAGTCTCGGAGCTGGAAAAAAAGCAAAATAAATTTCTATTCTGAATGAATTTGTTTGTTGAACAAGGGGGAGAGATACCTTGTTATTAGAAACATGAACACTCAAGCATTAGTAATACATTCCAATCTCTGCAAAATAAGTGATTGCCAACATCACTGCTATAATTAAGATACAATTCAATAGAATGTTTCTAGCGTACAATGATCGCACGTGTAATCTGTGTGCGGATGGGTAGTGTGTAAAAAGCACTTACTTCTCTTTTAATAAACAAGATTAACATTTTAACATTTGACAAAAATGATGAATAATCTCAGGACAAAAGTGGCAGATTGTGTGCGTGTGTTAAATGTACACATTTTAATGTATGTCAGATAATTTTACACAATTAACGTTGTGCATTTATTTGAGCTACAGAATCTGTTAGCGCTATATAAATGGCAATAATAATAATTTGACCATTTTTTTTTTTTTTTTTACAGAAAATGTAGGAATAGAACAATATTACAATATGTGTATATTATATTGTGGGTATTTGTCGGTTATGACCTGATAGGAAAAAAAAATAAAAAAATTATGTCATCCTTAGAATTTATATAAACTACAAATTTATTGGCTGCTCATGAATTTTGAAAGTAGATGTACTAAACCTCTAACTATAGATTATATCTTGCCATGTCCAACACTAAATGCATGGATATATGTGTTTTGGTTACAACAACCAATTTAAAGTCGTACAATGCCACCCCCAATGACAGCCTTGTCATTAGTCTTTAACAAGATAATTAGATTTTTTTTCCCACTACAACAAAAACTGGAGAGGGATGCATCACCTCCCCCTATCGATCAGCCTCCTCTGTGTCAATTAATCATTAAGATCAAGAGGTCATTAAAAGTAATTTCATGTAATAGCTCATGTACTACTATACAACCTACATTTCCCCTTGACTAACCTATCGAAAACTCAAGGTAATTTCACCTGCAGTCCTTGTCACTCCTTAAAAGTGTCTAGTGAAACAACCTTCTAAAAGGTGGCCACACAGTCCATCACCTTTACCTTCAGCTTCTTTAGCCAGGCAGTGGTCATCTTGGAGGTGTGTTTGGGTCGTTATCATGTTGAAATACTGCCCTGCGGCCCAGTCTCCGAAGAGTGGGTATCGTGCTCTGCTTCAGTATGTCACAGTACATGTTGGCATTCATGGTTCCCTCAATAAACTGTAGCTCCCCAGGGCCAGCAGCACTCATGCAGGCCCAGACCATGACACTCCCACCCCCATGCTAGACTGTAGGCAAGACACACTTGTTGTGACGGACCACCTGGCACCCCGACTGGATGCTTCAGCCAATCGCTACTTCCTAGTACCTCCAAGTACTTCAAAGCACTCCACCAGACAAAATCAGCACTGTAGACCCTTAGCCGCCACAGCCTGGCTTGAGTC